AGTTTCAACATTTTGCTACTACAAATAATGCTTCAATGAACATTATTGTACATATCTTCTTGTTCAAAGGTATGTGAGTTGATGAAACAATTGATCATAAAACAAGGAAAGAAAAAGAAAAAACTTGAATGTTTGGCATAGGAAGTAATTGATTGGCTAGTAGGAAAATGTATGAGTAAGCAGGTAGATAGGTTACTTCAAAGATTTTTTTTTTTTAATGGGGCTAAAGGGGAGCAGAAGATACCGCCGACAAATATGGCTCTTTAACATATTGTTTTGAGCTGGTTATTTTTAAGAACCCACAAACATAGGGAAAGTTCTGAAAAGGAAACTACCCTTTTGTAAGATATTTACATTATAAGGGAAATCTCTATTTGTATTTCTCTCTCTGTCTCAGGAAGTAGAAGATGACCAAATCTCTAGGATTCTGCAAAACCAAGCAGAACATACGTAGTCTTATTCCTCCCCTTTTTTATATGAAAGGCAGTATATTCCTTATAGCTCTGTATCTGGTTTTCTCAACTACTTTATTGCTTATTGAGCAAAGTGGAGGTGTGGATTTACTGCTAGCAAAACTCACCTGGAAATATTTGCCGGCCCACACCCTGTAAAGCACCTGCTGTTGCTATGGAAGAGACAAGGACGGAAGAGACACAGTTTGGGTAGCAATGAGTTCACAAGCTCCTCGGGGTGAAAATAAACTCACATGAAATCAAAGTCAGTAATTCATGAGGCTATATTATACTTTTTATATATAACGCTAAATTCTGGGAAAGACAAGAAGCATTGTATCTCTAGAGGAGGAACACCACAAAGAAGTGACACCAGGAAGGAGGTACTAGAGTTTGAACTTATTGGAACATTATCATTGGAAAGAATTTTTACTTTTCTGTAAGTTTGAAATTAGTACGTTACGTATTTCTCAATGGTGGCATAAGGTTGCTTTATTGCTGTTACTGTTAGTCTGAGAAAAGTTCTTGTCAAAATATTAATTGAAGAAAAGGATCAGGTCTAGTGAATGTACATGTTTGCAAACTTGAGATTTGGTTTGTGTGCTGTAACTTAAGCTGTCATGCATTTTTTGTAGTCTTTCCACAGGACAATACATGCTGACCATTTAGCCAGTACAGGAGCTGGTATGACTGGGGAAAATCTCATCCTGAATTGCTGAGTGTGCTTGAGGAGAATTGTGGTCCTCCATGCTGGGACCTGGGACTGGATCCTGATAGAAAAGTAAATTCTCTTGGACCTTGGCCCAGAACTACTGTTTCCATGAAACTCTAGGTGATTCTGATGCATCCTAGTTTGAGAACCAGGGTTTAAGATATCTTCCTCAAGTGGAAGAGGAACTATCATGGAGAAAGCCGGGAGACCTTAGAAAGCCAGGCCACCAGGATCCCATCAGATTTACAAAACTAAAGTGATGAGCTTTCTGCCAAGAAAGAGGATGTGATGATGTTCTGCCTTTCATTCTGTATAGTAATTCCCAATTACAATGTACTATTAAATCCCACATCATCCTGGAAAATTCTAGAATTAGCATGGTGGCAGGAGGGGAAAATTATTAAGAACCCATTGTTCATTCCAGACATTAAGTAATACATTGAATACATGGCCTTATAGCATGCTTACTAACCAACTTAAATTAGGTGTGATTACTCTATTTTGCAAGTGTAGACAGGCCCAGAGGGATTCAGTAACTCCCACAGGTAGCAGTCCACACAACCAGTAAGAAATAGGGTTGGATTTATACCCAGAAGGAAATGAGTAATTGGTGGTGTTTACTTGTAAGAGTCATTTTAACTGTTCAATATTTAGAGTCTCACTCTTTAATTTTAGAATGCAAGTTTATTTTTTTTTAATTTTTTAAATTTTTTGTGGGACCCTCACCGGTGGCCAGGGATCAAACTGGCGCTGCAGAGGCTGCGGGCAGCCTCGCAACCCAGCACTCAACCGCTGCACCACCAGGGGAGGCCCTAGAATGCAACTTTAAAATAGAATAAACTCTAACCATTTTCTGGGTTTATTGTAACAATCACCCAGATATCACCATTTAGACTAGAATCATGTGATAGCATGTTTACAAAATTAGCACTTTCCCCTTCAAAGGATCAATTTTCTCAGAAGGAGATAATAATGTTAAATGTTAGGATCCCAAAAGCCAGATTTATAATCATTCAGAAGCAGAATCCAGAAAAGACTATTTGATGAAAATTTCACCATTCTGAATATATGGAACGACTTTATCACGTTATTAGTAGCTTATTTTCCTATATCATGTTTTCTTATTGATAAATAAAATAGCTTGAGAGTCAACTATAATATTGTAGAGAAAATTTATTGAGGTGTACTTTAAATTTATGGTAAAATGTGAGGGGAAAACTAAGCAGGTTTGATTGGCCAAGTAGTTGTGGATGTTGTAAGTTTGCTCTTGCACTGGCATTCTGAGCCAGCTTGGCATTTGAGAGTCCATTGCTAAATTTTTAGGAATTTTGCAGACCAGGTGTGAAGCACAGCCATTTACAAAAATTACATTAAAAAGCACAATTGAATAAATTATGTTAAAAACAAAGGAACTCATATTAGTCACTTGCAAATTATTTTACTACATTTTACTATATTGATGCTCCTGAGGGTGTATCCATTCTGTTAGTAGTGTGGGAATACTACATAAAGGTGTGTTCCTGTGCCTTTCCTCCCAACTCATGTCAGTGCAATCACACTGGTAGGTTGAAGGGGGCAGTCAGTGGTGGGTTGTCTGCACAGGAAATGCTGGTCTCCCCACCTCCAAAAGCCTGTTGTGAAATATTTATCGGAAACTAATGGCCATAACAGCAAGCAAATTTAAAATAAAGGCATGAGTTGAGTTTAAGTGTTTAATTATTTCTGATTTCTATTAGAAAACTATAACCAAATGGCACTGAGCTTAAGGATAGACAAGAGTTCTGGCAGAAAAGAAATGGCAAGGTCAAAGAGTTTAAGAGTTTAATGAAGGACAGACTTTCAGGACTGTGGGCAGGGTTAAGATAAAATAATTGACTAAGGTAATGAAATCCCCAAAAATAGGAACAGGGTGAAATAAATGCTATCCCTAGGCCTGATATCAGAACCTGCAAGAACTGGACTCTGGAAGAGTCCAACAGGTCAGCGAGGGATGAAGGCACAGCTAGAGCCACAGCAGAGGAGGGGAGCAGGTCACAGGCATAGGCACACCCTGACTTTTCTCCCAGCCAAGGGAGCAAGGGAGCCTTGGATGGGAAGTTCTGGAAAGTCAGCCTCTCAGAGCAGAAATAAGGTATGGGGGTGTTAAAGTAGAGGGTGTGGGGGGAAGGACAGTTAGTATGGTGACTAAGAGAATAAGCTGCACACAGACTTTCATGAGGGACCAGTGTCCAGCATTGGTTCATTCTGAAAGGATATCTTCGTGTAGATGTTTAAGGGAAAAATCTTGAACTGGTTTTTAATAATTTATGGAAATTCTTCCAAAGACAGGGATGCTAATTAACTTTATCACTTACTTGTCTTGGAACTTGGTGGCCTTAAGCCCAAATGAGCCAAATGGGAAACCAATAAAGCAAATAAATGAAAATGGGATATAATTCTGCGAGTTTTTTGAGGGGAGAGGGGTTGGGGTGAGTTGCAGCATGGGACTATTTTGTTGAATCTATCAAGTGACCAAATGTTTTGTGACAAACGTTAAATCCAAATTTAACATTGCCAGACATCCAGACATGATCTTTTGAAAGCAACACCAATTTCTACTTGTGAAGGTCTTTTGGCAAAAGTTTGAAATTCTGCTTTCATGTGGAACTTTCAAAGAGAATTACCAAGGGCAGCCACACTGTCTCATAGGGTTGTTTTGAGCACCAAGTGAGGCAAAGTGTGAAGGCGTCACTGCTTGTGATTGCCAAGATGCCCAATAGTTCTTGCTATTGTCCCTGGAATTTTACCTGAGATACTAGCTACTCTCAGCCATGTCATTCTAAATGGCTCCCAGTTAGAGTTCTTTGGGATAGAATCTATTACATACTGTGGCATTTTAATATTAGGTTGAGACATAAAACTATTGATATTAGACTATTTTTAACCTACGAAATCAGCTTTTTCATGAAATTGAACAAAGTAAGATATTCTTAGTATAGTCTCCCTCACCCAGTCCTCATTCCCAGCATGTTTCTTCAAAACCCTAGCCTGGGAGACACATAAAAACCTAAAAATGAACTCATTTTCTGCCACTAACCCCCATATTTCCTAAGTTTAATAGTCATGAAATTTCAGGTGTCAGAAAGCATTTTCATAGCCAATTCTAATAATTCTGAGATTGGGTCCTGATACAGCTTCTCCAGAGGCTGGAGAGAAACTGACTCCAGGGTTTAGAGCCTGCTGTGAGGCAAGGGACAATCTCAGGAAATTGTGAGGAAGTGAAGTTGACATTATGTCCCAGGTAGCCTCTAAGGAAATCCCAGGCTTGGTGAAGGCATCCTTCCAGTTTTATAAAAACTTGCTTTCTTAAGTCTTGCTGAGCTTGCAAAGGTGCCTCAAAAGGAAGAAAGTGCACAAATGCACATTCTGCAGGTGGCAGGAACTTCCTGGACTCCCTGCACAAGCCAACACAATTTTTGGTGTTTTGGAGTCTCCAGGGTTTTATAGACATTTAATGAACTTTTACATGTGCATAAAAGGATACAGTCGTCTCTCACTATAGCAAGTATCCTGCCAGTACTGATAGTAAATGCAGTGTAAATTCTATTGCATTGCACATGGAGATTTAAGTTATTCCTCTTTGTGTTGGGGTTTCAACTGACTGGAAAAGAGGAGCGATGATGACCTGGGATAGGCAATTTATTTTTTATCTTCCCTTTAGGTATCTCAGATACAACCCCTTGAAAGGGGTGATTTCCAAACACTCTGTCTCAAATTTCAGAATGATTTTGTCATTTCAGTGGCAATGTCTAAATGAGATGAATAACCAAAAAAGAGCATAAGAAAGCACAACCAGATGATGGTCATTTATTAATACAAATTTATATAGTGGCATTTGCTATTGGAAAAATCAGAAATTCATAACACACAAACTGCAACTGGAAATACAAAAATCATTTCAAAGTAAAGAAATCAGGTTGACAGCACCACAAATGTTTCACTCAGTCTGAGCAGGTGTGTAGTATCCAAGGGTAACGAATACCTAGAGGACATGAGACTGTGCAAACATGGTCTGATACTATTTCCACATCCAAATACAGGAATCTGCAGGGGTCCTCCAGAAGTCCTGGGGCAATAAAAGGGCAGCTTGGCAGAAAAAAAAGGTGCAGATTCTTTTTCTTTCAATCTCCACAGCCAACATGTGATAGCAACTAGCAACCCCTGAGGGGTTTTTGTTCCTTCTCACCTAAAGGCATGGTATAAAAGGTTAGTAAAACACACACAGGCATTAGTGAGCCAGTTAGAGAAAGTGAAAGCAGAACTGTGAATGAGACATAATCCTACATCATGAAATTGAACAAAGTAAGATATTCTCAGTATAGTCTCCCTCCAAATCATCAAATTATCTTATCCTTAATACAAAATACAAAACATAAATGAAATGAAAAATTCTGTGTCAAAGGAGTAAATCTCAATTTCATATCTTAGCAATTTCCTTTAATAAGTGTGCATTCAATAGAAAAGTACTGTCATTCAATAAAGCGTGTGCAGTGCGGGGCGGAGGGGAGGGTGGACAGAAAGGAAGTTGTGGGAATATTCCAAGAGTTTCTTTTTGCATACATCAGTCACTGTTCATGGTCCTCCTGAATGTGGCCCTGGCATGGAAAGTACACGGAGGCTGCTAAGAGCACCGAGAACACTGCCTCCATTCCTTCCCATGCTAACCTTATCCTGCCCCCGTCTGCACACTCTTCCTGAGCACATGTCCTATTCAGTAGTAAAGGAAGGGATATGCAAGAGTAGTTGAGCAAACGGAAATGTGCTGCTTTAACGGGTGAGCATCCTGGCACTGGGAGCGGTCATAAATAACAGGTCACATCAAAAGGTGCTGCACAGAAGCCTGACTTTCTGTGCATGCAGATTTAGCATTAACCATCTAGATTGTTCTGGAGAAGATTCTCTGCCTGCCAGCTGAGCTCTCCAACCATAAGACAGCAATTCTTCTTGTTCACGAGGCTTCTTGTTCACGAGGTGTGGGGGGGGGGTGGTGGTGAGAGGATTCACCAGAGAGAGTGGGGAGCAGAACGGGCAGATCTACTGAAATACACCGCTGAGGGGAGCAGCAGGAGAGGCAGGAGAGGTCTGCTGAGCCATGTAGGTCAGCTCCCTGGCTGGGGACCAAACTTATGCTGCAGTGGCTGGCAATAGCTTGACAGTGCTGACTTTAACCCCTGCGCCACCAGGGAGGCCCCCTGACACAGCAGGTCTGTCCCAATTACCCAAGCTGATCTCAAGTAGCACCTGACCAGCCATGAGTTTTGTTTCTGGGTTCACCCACCCCAATCCATCCTCTCCTCAAAACGTCATACTCATCTCAGATGCTAAGTCAGACTTTCCTCTAAATGGGCAGCTTTGGGGGCTGGTTCAGAGCCTCACCTCCTGCCAATACATTATGATGACTTTTCTGTTCACTCTTTCATATCACGTGAGATTGCTGCCTATGTAAATTGGTGTTAGTTTTAGTGAGAAAATTAATTCACAATCCAAACAGAAACAGCTTTTTTTCTACTTGCCCTTCTGATATTGCTACTATTCTCTCTCAGCTCCCTTTCCTAAATTTATTTCTCTATCACTCACCCATAACAATGTTCATTTTTTCAACCAACAAATATTTTGGGAGTGCTTGTTATGTGCAAGGCATGGCTGAAGGGAGAGATACCCAAAACCTTTCACAGTTCATTCTTTCTAGTTTTTAGTATCAAAGTGTTTCCACTTTGTAAAGTTCTCAAAGCTCTTGTGTCATCATCATACAAACGTCATCCACATGAATGCTCTGGTTCTTGCCCAGTGATAACGGTGTGCTAGGCTGACCGGGAAGAGAATGTACCTCGAATTCAAAACAACATGACACGCGTGCTTATGTTTTGGCCAATAAGGCAGAAGCAAAAAAGAAACACAAAAGCAAGCTGTGTGTACACTACTTAAAAAATGGTTAGGCTCTTTGAACACTAAATCATTTCAAGCCATGTTTTGATGGCCTTGTCATGTGCAGATATGGAAAATAAGTGCCTGAGTTACCAGAAAAGAACTCCCCAAAAGAAAAATCCCTGAAATACTGTACCAGGAATGGTGTCTTATCTGCTGTGAGTACTAGTACTTTGTCTGCTTTGAATGCTAGCACTTCATCTGCTGTGAGTACTAGCTGGCATCTTTTAACTCACATTATACTATGACCTGGGCTTTCTCCTAACTTGTTTTATTCAAATGAGTCACTTACTATCCTGAAACACTAGCAAAATAAAACCTCCATAGCTAGCAAAGCACACAGGCTGGTCTATTATTGGACCTGGCAGAGCCTGGCAGGCAAGCGTAGAGGTCTTTTTAGCATCCATGGAAATGCTGAATAAAAAGGCTATGGTGCCTGGATGGTGTTTGGAGCATCCTTTGCCAGGGAGGATGTCCTGGTGCATCCCCGGTACAGTGACTTCTGGGCTTCAGGTCAGGTGAGTTGCTAATGTGATCTGAGCTGCTTGCCAGGCCTCTCCTTCCTCCCAGGTTTCATTCTATCCCTTTGTCAGGGCATTCTCAGTGAGACCCATATCTGACAGGAGAGGCCCACAATTCTCCCTTGAGATGCAGAGAAGTGCTCTATCCAGAGGACTTTGAGACCCGAGTTGAGAGGGCTCTGGAAATGCAAGTACAACTGGAGGCCATAGATCACAGACTGACATGGAGATGCAATGAGCAAATCTGATGCTAGTGCTGAAAGCAGGTTTCTGAATGCAAGCTGGATGTCAGCAACTTGAATTCTGCTGTTCGGAGTCCCAAGAAAAGCCCAGGAGGCAGCTGGTGGTCGGTGACCAACCTTGAAGCCCACTCACTTTCAGAGATTGGCCAGTGCACACCCAGCCCTCTGGGCCCCATGGGTAAATCTGTCTGATTCCTGCCTTCCCACTGCCATGCTTCTTTCTAAGATTGGCCTTACGGAATGAGCAGTGCATTGCTGCTGAGACTATTCAAGGACTCACAGAAATGACTCTAAAACTCGGGGGGGTCTCAGTGGTTCTTTGCTTAATGAGGTAGCTCAGTTGTGAGTTGATGCATGTGATGTGTGCTTTCTGCCACTCAAAGCTATAGTTTTCCCTTTTTAATCTGCAGGATTATAAAAATACCAGTATCTCCCTGTTTTATAAAAATGATTTTAGAAAAAAATACGTGTGGGTCTCCTCCATTAAACTTCTGTTCCGTCTTGTAAATTGTTGTGGACTCTGACCTCCAGATTCAATTTTTTGACCTTAGCACCTTTGAAAGCATAGGAGCCCTCTGGCTCACTCAGTATGTTGACGTTGCGCACAGTGCAGTACTGTCTGTTCACGTTCTTCTCCACCCTGTCAGGGCTCCTCTTGGGCACTTCCACTTTGGTGTTCAGAGGGTATTCCTCAAAAATGTCCTCTGTGGGTGTTTTACTCCTCTGTGTCTGGCATTTTCTGGTGATGAAACAGGCCACCAGAAACAGCAGGAGCAGAAGCATGATAGCAGCCAGGGCGCTGCCTATGGATGCCCCCGTCTGGGATAGAGAAGCAGCGACAACTGGCTCCTGCATGTCCAGATTCAGGGATTTCATGTTGGTGCCATTCTTGACCTGGTCCCCTTCATTGTCATAGATGAGGGAATCGTCGAGGGTCAGCTGGCCGCTGGGGTCCACCAGGTCCCTTCGGTTTCGCCTCAGAAGGGCTGTGAGCGAGCGCTGGACCCGGGGCCCTGATATGGTGTCAGGGCCAATAATGTAGATGACCTGTAGGTACCACTGGTGCCCTGCTTCCACCTGCAGGAGGAAGAAAATGGGCGACAAGCAGAATAGGTCACTGCTGCCCAGGAACTATCTCTGAAGAGACAGTCGCCACCACAAGCCTTGATAAATAATTTCAAGAGAAGCGTTAGCAAAGGTGCCCACTAATAGGTAAAGCACTGAACCATATTTTGGGTATTATTTTATTTCCAATAAGGTGATCAGGGGCCAGATAGTCACATTCTTTTCTGCTTCCCTATCTGTGTTTGGAATAGCCCTAAGCATTTATATTTTATGATCTTTTAAGCGAAAAGAATGCTTCTGATTTGTTGGTCTTTAAGGGTATCAATGAAGAAATAGCATTAATAACCACATTCATTCCCAGGGACTGTCAACTGCTTGTGCTAATTTAGTCTTCATTGACAAACTTCAGTTAAATAATCATCCAGCAAATATTCACTAGATACCTACTCTCTGCACAACATATTGACAAATATTTGCTAAGTCTGAATACTTCCTGTGTCACCTACTTAGCAGTTATGTCACGATTATTTTATTTCCATCTCATCTACTCCCATTGAAATCCTCTGTGGGTTTGAACTAACTTCCAAAGAATAGTTTGAAATCTAAGGTCACAGATCACTATTTAGAGACAGAAAAAAAGTGGAATTTGATCTTGGAAGTTGACATTTATTGCTGGGACTTAGATTATTTTTGCTTGTCAGACACTAGTCACTCTTGTCATTCTAAACTGCTATATTGTAGTTATGGTTTTGTTAAATGTCTTTGACATGCTTGTAAAAATTAGCTGGTGCAGCAGAGTCAGAAAGGCAGGCAGTGTAAAAATTTAGGGAAAACTAGAGTATCGGATATATCCCTGATGCACACAGTGACAATAGATTAGATGTAAATTAAAGAATTTTATCACTCTGTTAGTCTTTTGGGGATAGAAGTGAAAGTTGGGGCAAATGATAAATCTTAAAAGTATAAAGAAAAATCTGCCATCATGAATATTATAAAGAGAAACTGATAGTCCAGAGATAACCATGTCCTCTGCTTTGGGATCTTTAAAGTGGCCTTGGTGCTGTGTTTCTGTTCTTCACACCACACTCACCTTATAGAGTGCATCAACTTTCAGAGTAAATCCATCCACACCTGGCATGCTACTGACCACTTGGAAATCAGGCAACTCAGAAGCAAAATGGGCCTCAAAGGGCACGTCGTGGAAGTACTTATCAGTGACCTCTGGCTGACTGCGGTCCTAGAATTTCAGATAAAAGAAACACAAGATTTAGAGATGGAACCATTCTAGTGGCTGCTTGCAGCCACTGGGAGGATAAGGTGCTCTCACTCCTGCTCTGGGTTGGGTTGGGAGAACATGTGTGGCCAAGTCTTCTCCTAGAGTTGACTTCTGCTTCTGGGAACCTACTGACCTCTTTGGAGGATATTTGGTGGCCAGGTGATATGGAAACATAGAGTGGGATAGCATAGACAGATTATTCTCAAACTGTTTGATCTTAGGACCTTTTACACACTTGAAATTCAAGCATCCCCAAAGTCTTTTATTTATGTGTTTTATATCTAACAATATTGACTGCATTGAAATTAATATTGAAAAATTTTTTTTTAAGATTTATTTATACAAGAACTGGGGTACAGGTCAGAGGTGCGGGAAGGTGAGAGAATTCACCAGAGACAGAGCGGGGAGCAGAACAGGCAGGCAGACTGAAAACACTGCTGAGGGGAGCAGTGGGTGAGACAGAAGAGGTCTGCCATGCCATGTGGGCATGTCCCTGGCTGGCTGGGAATCAACTTGCACTGCAGAGGCTGCGGACAGCTCCACAGTGCTGCACTCAATCCACTGCACCACCGGGGAGGCCCCAATATTGAAAAAATTTTAAAGATACTTATTACTATTTATTTTTAAATGGCAATGAAAAGCTCACTACATGTTAACAGATGTAATGTATTTGTTAGTGAAAATATCAAAAGTCATCCCACCTCCCAAAAGAGAGCTGGCATTGTTGTTGTTTTTCCAATTTTTGGAAAAGAACTAGGTTCTCATAATTTCCATATCTAATCAGTTGTAATATGTTGTTTAGACTGAAATATATGAAGAAAATCTGGTCTTACATAGCTATGTAGTTGGAAAAGAGAGGAATATTTTAATAACTTTTCCAGAAAATTGTGTATATTCTTTTTTGATACTGGATCAAAGCTTGGTAATAGTATTTTTTAAAGATTGGTTACAATGTGGAATATGAAACTATATCAATAAATGTTTGATATTCTCTATATTCATGAGGGAATGAATATAAAAAGGCAAACATCTTTACATTACTATGGAAGTAGTTCTGAAGTTGAGGACTGCCTGAAGGAATATGGAAGGCATTCTGGGGTGTCTGGGCTGTACTCTGAGAATCACAGGGCTAGACTTTCTTCTTTCTTGGGTATTAATAACAGCCTGTCTTGCTACCCACAAACACCGTCACATTTGGTAATGTGTACTAGTATTTACATGTTAAGAGAAAAACAACCAGCACAATAGCCATAACAAAATGTCTGTAGAAAACCATCTGGAGTGGGCTGCTATCTGATGTAGGCAGGACACATAGCTGAGGAAATCCACTGGTACATCAACTTTTTAACACTAACAGTTCACGTACCAGCAGCAGGAATCTGTGTTTTAGATGCTTGTTTGGTTGAATACATCCATACTGTGGCCCTTCATTGTAGATTGTACCCGTGGGATCAAAGAAAGGCACATAGCCATCCTTGCCAGTACAGAGATAGACTTTCTCCAGCTGGAGTTTGTAAGCAGAATTAAGGTTTTGTTCTGGATTCCAAAGTACTCGGCCATAAAGGATTTGACCTAAAAAGATGAAGAGGCATTAATTAGGTCAGTTTTTAAGATTAAAGAGAAAGAAATGTCAAGGGCACAAAGGATTTCACATTCTGCCTCAGAGGCAAAAGTACCTTGCTATGAAGAGCTCTATGATGCCACATGCCTCTAAATGAATGAACATTCATTCACTTATTCCTTCTTTTGTTCAATTGCCATTAAATATTTAAGGTGTGCCAAGAACTGCTATGTGCAAAGGATACAAAGGTGACTGAGATGTAGCTCAGAACAGAAATAAAACAAAGAAATGGCTAAAAATACCTAACAAACTCCTATTTGCTAGGTACTGTGCGAGCACTAAGAATTCATGTAGTGCTCACAATTTTATAGATGAGGAAATCAAGACACAAAGTGGTTAACTGATTCATTGAGGGTCACAAAACTCTTAAGTGGTGAGAGTAGGATTCAAAGTCAAGTTACTTGGTCTCTAAACCCCACATTATTAACCAAAGCAACACTATACTGTTGTTTCACAGTAGAAGGAGGTATGGAATACTAAATAAGCACATAGCTGAGCCTTGGGAGAGGTACAAAAGGATTTCAAGAGGAGACAATATTTGAGGAGTATCCTGAAACATGAGCAGGCATTTGACAGAGCACTTGAGGTGGGAAGGAGGAAGGGAGGTGAAAGAAAGTTCATGTACAAAATACCAAATGCTGGAAAAGTATTGGCCCTGGTATAGTTACTGGTTTTTTTGGTACTTACTTTGGCACCAAGTTCATTACTTGCATTCCCTTATCCAAACCTCCCAGGAGTCCAAGAATTAAGTTCAACTATCCCTATTTAAAATAACTTGTCCAAATTTTCATATCTGTGACATGAGGGGAAGAGGATTTGAATACAATCCATCTGACTCCAAATGTTCATCCACCTAGAGAATTTACAATGTGGCACTGAGTAAGCTTGTGTAAGTGGGGGAAGGATGTGTGAGGCTGTAGCAGGAGAGACTCTCAGGATAACAGACAAACAGTGCAGAGGGTTCTGGACTTCAGCATATATTTAACAGGAAACACTGAAAGGTTTTAAACAGGGGCATAATATAAACACAACTGGGATTTAGAAATATGGAGAGTGGAATAAAGACAGACTAGAGTCACAAAGACCAGGAAGGGAACTATTTTAATCTTTTGATGAAGGGCATGTATCTAAAACATAGCTGTGAGGCAAAGGGATGAATATATGAAATGTTTATAGGTCAGAGCCCATTCATATTAATGATAGATAGGACAGAGGTGGTGAAGGAGAAGTTGAGGATAACTCCAGGACCTCCTAGAGTGCGGTGATGCAGACAAAGGGGCAGTAGATGCAGGAGGAGCATTTTTGGAGAGAGATCAGTCCATTCTATACATATCTAGGTGACATCCTGAAAACTTTGTCAATAGTTTCAGATCCACATATAGAAATGTGGAAGTGAATCTCAGGAGAAGTCAAAGCTAAGGTCAAATGAGATGGAACGGATGTGGAGGAGTAGAAGTACAGGGAGTTCAGAGCAAAGGGAGCATAGATGTGAGAACAGAAAGAGCCGAACATGGAACCTGGGGACAATAACCCAGATGGGACAGTGGGAGGAGATCCAGGAGTGAGAAGTAGTCAGAGAGGAAAGATGGTGTCAGGTGAGGCTGGTACAAAGGAAATCAAACATGAGAAAAAGTATTACAAAAAAAAAAAATCCATGCAATTGGTGTTATTAACAAGAGAGAGCACTGAGTCACAGATACTGCCTGAGGTATCTGGATGGCGGTGTGACTGTGAGGAATCATTACAGTGCTAATTGTGTGATCTTATTTTGATACATGAAGGAAGAACATGGGTCTGCCTCTTGACCAAAAATCGGCTGCACTGGAAGCAGCCCCAGAGCAATCTTCGCTGGGGAGTTGACTGAAAATTAAAGAGCAGCCTCACCCAAATGTTTCTCACCTCCACCACAGGCTCTGCAGGTGAAGGAAACAACTTACCTTTTGAGAAGGCACCTTTGTAGTCCATTTCTGCCAGTGACATATCAGATGTGTTGGGATCCATTAGGAACACCTTCTCATTATTGCAGAGCTGAAATTCAGTGTTGAGCGAATATACGACTGGTACTGGGCGGTTGGTCTGCTGGAACGCAATGGGTATCAGGAATCTAAATTCGGGAGACATAAGAACTGTTTAGGAGCAGGGTCAATTTTACATGTGTCATTTAAGCTGTTGTTCCTTTCCCATCCTTCTCAGGATTGTGACAAGCCTTTTGTTGTAGGTATTAAATATTTACTGAATAAAAAGGTGATGTAGGAGAGGGATTTTATGACTTTGATCATTATGAGATAATGTGTTCTTTTGAACAGGAATAAGCTAATTTATCTTTAGAACTCTTTAATATTCTTTACTTTCTTTCATGCTTTTATTCTAAGTCTCCCCAAATTTCCAGACTTTGACATGGATATTTTTCTGGAACACTCTCTCATCTACTGTCTATGCTCCTTTGCTTAGTAAAGTCTTATCCTTCAGATTGCAACTCAAGCTCCACTTTTCTCTGGGAAGCATATCCTTTTTTTCTTCCTTCCAGGCTAAGTTAGATTCCTTCTCATTTGTTCTCATTACACTGTTCTTTTCTTTCATAGTACCTAACATGGTTTGAGAATTTATTTAAATATGGAACTTATTATCTGATTGAAGTCTACTTCACCCATTACATGGTCCATAGAGTCACCATTGTAGCTTCAAAGCCAGTCAAGCTCCTGACAAACATATTTGTTAACTAGCAATGTATGGGTTATAATTTTATTGCATTATTCTTCAAATAGAATCTGTTTGCCCACTCCTTACTTTTAGTGAAGTTGCTTCAGTGGGGCTTCATTAAAAGGTGTGAGGGTATGATATAGGAGGAACTTGGGGTATGGAAGAAGTCCAGACAAGCCAGAGCCAGAATATCTTTGATATAACTGTTAGTTACACTAAGGGTTCATTTATATGATTGAGAAAAATAGATTTTTCTTGTTGATACCAGTGTTACAAGAATCCACATAGTACTAGATACAAATAACACCCCATAGATATTAACTGACTAAATAGAATGAATAATGGACTTGAGATGATGATTATTTATAAGGTTATAATATATGACAGATCTTACATAAATAGGCAAAATATGAGCCTATCCTTTTTGAATTAAGTCTGAATTCCTGATCAGTATTGATTGTTTTTTTGTGTTGTGGCTCTGCTGCATGTAGCCAGGGAGATGATCAAATGCAAGGCTGGGCCAGGGAAAAGTCACCCTGAAATGATGGGAAATCTATAAGTAATGATCTCTCTGATGTAAGGCAAAGACATTCAAGCCTGAAGCTTCAGTATCCTCTTCCCCCTGTAGCCTCCAACACACACAGAGCCAGACCTGGGTATATGCTGGTGTCCTTTCTATCCTTTTTTTCCATTTTCAAACCACTATTCCTTTCTCCTCTTAAAAACAAATCCAGCACCCATCTTGGAGAAACTCTTTTCATGCAAGTACCTTAAAAGACACATGCAGTATTTTTTGTAATAGAAAGAATTTGGAATTCTATGCCAAAGAGAGTAATTAAATAAACTGTGGAATGCTACAAAGAATACCTTATTGCTACACAAACCAACAGAGATATTGATTCTCTTACGAATCAACAAATGATTCATTGAGCCAAAAAAAAAAAAAAAGAAAAAAGCTGCTAAGAGAATTCACGCAGTAAGAAATCTTTATATAGAATTCAGAAACATGCAAACCCATGTGGAAATAAATATGAAATGAATCATAAGCCAAAACAAGGGATGATAATTCAAGTGTCAGGCTAGTGGCTACTTTAGTGGGGAGGGAGAAGGGAGTACACCTGAAAGAGGTCACTGAGAGTCTTCAGAAGGTACAGGTAAAGTTCTATTTCTTTTTTTTTCTTAGACTCTAAGTTTTATTCATTATAAAATGGAGATAACAGTACCAATCTTGTGGTGGATCACTGTAATGAGAATTCAACTTTAAGGGCTCAGGACAGAACTCAGCAATAGTCTGCATCCCACACAGGGCCATTAATATCACTGTTAGCTATTATTACTCATTTTCTCATCAGTTTCATAGCCCAGAGGCTGCACAGTTCACTGCAGTTATTTCATATTAGGCAATATTCTATTTCTTGAAGTTTTCTGTATTTACTATATATGCTCTTTTGAATATCTGAAGTATTTCATCGTTAAAAATTTTAAGACATCAATAAAAACTCCCTGATATATCTCATCAGTTTATCTGCCCTCTGATAGTGTAGTCAAACACCAGTTTCCTGATTTCTATTTTAAAACGAGGCTACACAGAAACAAACCTCCAGCAGACAGAGAAAGAATCTGGGAGCCACCAGTAAAGCTCCTAAAGCCTGTGTCCACAGCATTGTCATCAATGATTCAATACATAATCCTGTTTGAGGCATATTTCTGTTTAAAGACATCGTATTTAATATATGTTGATGACTCATTGACATAGAACTCAAGGGAACAGCACAAAAAATCTGCGTGACTGCAGTTGTCTACTAGTCCATAAGCCTTTCTTGTACTTAGAACACTAGACAGCAACTCAGCTCTAGGCTTGCAAGAAGGCATTTTGAACAGCAAAATCACTAACAAAAGTACAAAAACACAAAAGACATGGCACTAAATAGATTGTGTAAAAGATACTTATTTACAGCATGAGAGCGGGAAGATGACAGAGTGTGACCTTGTTAACTTCAGTTGGGAATGTGAGTCTCAGTTGATTTGATTTTTCTACTCTGTGTGTCTGCAAATGACCACATAATGGTCATTCTGATTTTGGAGTCAGAAGTAAATTTGAGTGGGTTGATTCAGTAATAAGGAGGGACTGTATTTTTCTACCTTTCTGGAGCATGTGCGGTGCAGGCCAAAGGCTTCTCTCCTGCGTCAACCCATGGTTGTGTGGGCTGCACGGTGCAAGGGATCAGGTAGATGGTGTACTCCCCCGAGTAGTCCTTCCTGGAAACAAGCAACAGCACACTGAGGTTAGAGAAAACAGTTCATAGATGCTTTAATTACCCAGAAACACACTGACTTCTTTAAACATTTTTCAGAGGGTATTTGTGTCCAACAAATTTAAGGGACTGCAAACACAATTTTCAAGAATTCATCACAGATTATTCTAACCTTCAGAGCATTAGCCGGGATATCGAATAGGGCTCCTTTCTTTTGTTCAAGTCCTTTTCATGTTAAAGCTGAGAAAGACGCATTATTTATAAAAACCTAAAGTGCTCCAGTAAAGACAAAACGAAACTAGCCATTTCCTTTAGGTTTCCAAGAAGGTTGTTTGACAATATCTATTTACTGTGTCTTGTTGACTGACACCCAGTGCAATGCCTTCTTCGTTGCAAACACTTTCATTTATTAAGTGATGGCTGTGTCATTTGCTGCTCTGACAGAGGAGGTAGCAGATGCTTCACTATTAATGGTATCACCTCATTTCTTTGTCCAAAACTCTACAGCCTCAGTCCTATTTGAAGTTGAAGAGCAATGTCTACTCACTGGGAACCTCCTGCTAGTAATGGGTCATGGCACCAAGGGCACAAAGCACAGGTACCCTCACCTACTTCATTTCCCACACTTTTCACTGAGGAGCAGCCCCTGCCCTGGCAGGTGCATGGAAGGCAGCCAGAGAGCCAGAAGCTTCAGGAAGATTCTTCCAGGGCTTTGGGAGGCTGCCAGCCATTGAATGGAGAGTGCAGGACTGTGAATCTTAATTATAACTGTTGAGCAATCTGTAAATCGTTCTCACATCTGCTGTGTTGGTTCTGTGACCACTTCTTGGATATTATTTATGTCTATTAAGAAAGTAATAGCACAGATTTGGAATAAATGAATGAATAAATAAATATATGAAATGTTTATGACACTTCCTGGGGTGAATTTTGTGGGCTGGTGCAGATTGGAAACTGGGAGATAGTCTGACTGATCCTGATGTGGCTTTGCCTCCACCACTGTTTGTGACATTAGACAAAGTATGCAAAGTTCAGGGCTTGTTTCTAAGCCCACTCCCATGCTGATCATCCCTAGGTCTTATGTCTGTGATTTTCCTACATAGTCCTGATCTTTCTCCAAAGTTTGAGTCATCAGAAAATTAAACTTTGTGGCCACATTTGAATGACGTGAAAACTGACATTGTGTGATGTGAGCAGTAACTCTTAATGAATAGAAATGTTCAATTAGGCTGAACTATCCATGCTTGACCCTTACTTTCAAAGCGTCAGGCCTGATCATGTGGCCCCACTGTACTGGAGGCAAAGCCAAGGGCCACACATGGCCTGACCCGCAACCTTTGACTTCTTTGCCCTTTTCACCCATTTCCCTCCTCCTGGTTCACTCCACTCCAGCAACATGGACTCCTTGTTGCTCCCAGAATGAGAAAGGTCCCATTTCAGGCACTTGGCAGGAACCTTTCTCAGATAATCTGCGTAGAACTCCCTCGCCTCCTTTAACTATTTGCTCAAATGTACCTTCTTAATGAGGCCCAACTCTGAACACTCTAATTAAACTTACAATGTCCCCCACACTCCTGATCCCCTCTTACTCTGCTCCATATCTTTTGTTTTTCCATAGCACTCATCATCTTCTAACAAGTATAATAGGTTTGATTATAGTTATTTATTATGTCTACTGTTTTGGGACTCCTTACTCTAAATGCTGTGTGCAAAGATCTTTGCTTTGCTCAATGATATATTCCAAGTCCCTAGAACCTTCCCTGACACCTAGTAAATGCATGATAAATATTTATTGAATAAATGAACAAATGAATGCAGAAAAAACTGCATAGTCACTCAAGCCCACATTTCTTCTTTCCCCAGAAAAATGCTATTTAGGTAGATTTCCTCATTATCCCTGCAAATATGCAAAATGCAGATCTTTAATCTTATAGTTCTTCTCCCCTCCTTTTCTAAAAATAGACATTTCCTACTTGTACATGGAGCACCAGGAAGACTTGTACTGCTTCCAGCCAATGCTAGGGGGTCTGCTCTCTGAACAACTATGGTCTTGGTGTTCTCTACAGCTCACAGTGCTTAGATTTCTTCTTCACTTTGCAATTTATTTATGTTTTTTTTCCCCTTTACCTCAAATGTATGCTCCTATAGGATGTACCATGTGCTCAAACCTGTAGTTCTTGGAATTCAGAATGAATCCTTTTACCCTTGGGAACTTCAAGATCTAGTAGAAAATGGAACTCTACTTAAAGCATTATGATAATAAGAGCTGTGTTACAGAAGCTCCAAGAAAGTGAGAATGAGGAAAAGGTTGCTTCTTGCACCGGAGACTTAGGGGAGGTGCAGACCACTCAGAGGGGTCAGTGTTGGAGTTGGGTTCAGAGTTCAAGTTTTGCCAAAAAAAAAAAAAAAAAAGAGCACATGGAATTGCAAAGGCGTGGAGGTGTGGATGGGCTGGTAGGTTTAGGAATTGGTAAGATATTTAATGGTTGGGTCTGAAATAGGGCAAGATGGGTTTTATATAAGGTTCAGACTTCTGGCAGGTAGCAGGAAGTCAGCAGAGAATTTAAAGAGGAGAGTCTCTCTGTCTATAAATAAGGGCAAAGCACATTTATAATCTCACAGCCCCTAAAGATTATTTTATTATTTATCAATTTCAAAGGAATTAATATGCCAAAAATACCTGATACAAGACCAAAAATTTTTAATTAATCTTTTAGAAAATAAATGCTAATTATAAGCACAAATAAGATTTTCATGCTAATTAGATATTAATTTCATGATCTACAAAATGGGGGTAATATCTATGATTACCTTGTTGCCCCATTATCTTATTATACAATGATAGTTTTAATTTTTTTTCCTATTCTTCCTTTTCACAAATGAGATATTTAATGTATTTATCTAATTTCTATTCTACCTCTATAGAGGTATATCTTATAGGATATAGGGCCATCATAGGGAGTCCCCTGGAATTAATAACCATAGTGCTTGGATTTGGCTTTGGTTGAGGATATTGGAATAAATTTTTTTTCTGACACTAAGGATTTTAGTTGGACACATTTTCCAGGTTCCCTTGCAGGCAGATGTGCCATGTGACTACATTCAAGCCAATGAATGTGAGTGGAATTGACGTATATCCAGCTTGGTTTTGCCCCTGGAATAAAGGTAACCATTTCTTATTTATCCATCAGAAGCTGATCTGAGTTACATTTGTTTCTTTCTTTATTTGCCAGAGGCTTGTTTCTATGGAGCCTCATTTTAAAACAGAAATCTAGGCATAAGGAAAAGCCTTATTTCTTAAGCTCCTGAGAACCTGAAACCATTTCAGATCTATCCTTGAACTCTATCCTGTATTCACCTGTTATAAGAGCTTGTGGCTCTCCAGAGCTGATATGGTGAATCAAAAGTCTGAGCACTCCATAGCAGCTGCAGGTCAAATTCAATTCCTCCTAGGTGGTCTGGAGTCAATATGAAAGACTTCACATCAGGGAGGGTGTGGTGCTCCATCACAAATTGTCCTATTCAAGATGAAACACACACACTTATTTGTGAGCTTTATTATACTTGTGGTGAATCCTGTACAAAAGAACTGAGTTAATATTCTGCCATCAAACAACTAAGGTTATAATTACCCTCCTGCCCTGTAGAATATGTCCCATGCTGGTTGGGACAGCATGGCATCTCACCCCCATCCATCATCCTACTTGTGATGCTCATTATGAGCATAAATATTTACAAAAAAATATGAACACTTAGCTTTGAATTCCAATCAACATGTTTCTTGGAGGTAAAAAGGTATTGGTAGTTTACTTTTATAAATAGAAATGTCAACTTTGGATAAAAAAAAAAAATCTCACAGGGAGCCACTCGGGTCCTTGGTTGGAGAAGATAATTGGAAACATCATTAAAAACATCCTTAAAAACATCCTTGTTACTCAGCAAATTATCTCTGCTTTTTAAAACTGCAGTAATACAGTGTAATGAATAAGTGAAAATAGGGAGACTCCTCTTGAACTAAATAGGCTAAAGAGATATACAACCAAAATATAATAAATGAAACTTGATCAGAACCACCTTTCTTTTACATAAGTGTATATAAATATAAAAATAAGGGCCTCCCTGATGGTGCAGAGGTTGAGCGCTGGGTTGCGAAGCTGCCTGCAGCCTCTGCAGCGCCAGTTCGATCCCCGGCTGCTCCCCAGCCACCGGAGGAGGGTCCTGCATGGCGCGCAGACCTCTCCTGCCGCCGGCTGCTCCCCTCAGCAGTGTACTTCAGTCCTTCTGCCTGCTCTGCTCCCCGCTCTGGCTCTGGTGAATTCTCTCACCCTCCCGCGCTTCTGACTGTACCCAGTGTTTGTGTAAATAAATAAAATAAATAAATCTTTTAAAAATAAATAAATAAATATAAGCAAATATAAAAACAAGTAGAAAAGACATTTGACAAAAATAGAGGAAAAATGAATAACATTTGGATATTATTAGATCAATATTAGTACTTAGATGCAATCATGCTATTGTGATGTGAAGAGAATTTCTTTGTTCTCAAGAGATATCTACTGAAATACTTAGAGTAACTTGAAATGAAATCTTCAATTTGTCCTCAAATGACATACCCCTCCCCAAAATGGGTATACCTATGTGTATGTGTACATTCATGTAACAAAATATAAACAATAGTTCTATTGAAAGAAAAGAATAATGAAAAACAAAGTCAACTATTGTACTATGTTTTTGTCCATGCTAATTAAGTATTAGAGAAAAGAAACCTGGCATTGACATTACCTCTGAATTTGGCGTGGGTCTTGAATTCAATGACGAGCCGGCCATCTTCTCGAATGTAGATTCTTATTATCTGAAGTCTTGCTGAGAGCACACTGTCTGTCTGGATTCCTGGGCAGGGAGATGTTCAGAGACCATCAACATCGGGGCAGGGAGAAGATCTCAGACAGTAACCTATGTGAACTATCCCAGTGCCAGTGCTAAGTGGAGCTGCATGATTATTTGACTATAACTTAGGACAAAGTTATAGTCATTCATATGAACATTGAGACTCTTTAGAGACTTTTCAATTAAAATTGCATGACATTTCATTCTACTTGGCTCTTTTTTACAGTTCTGTTATGCCTGACACAGTCTCTTTAACCTGTGAGTGACACTTAGCTCAGATTCAGGGCCTTAGTTTATAGCCTGGGGAGAGAATGGTTATTAAAACTTCTCACCATCAACTTAACAACCAGATGTGGTTACAACACATCTGTTTCATACCATATTTTCTTTTCTTTCTAAAGATGCCTTTCAGGATTTAACAGAACCACACATATAGTTCTGGTGGCTGCATTTAATATTTAAAGTAATGGATAGTTGAAGGCAAGCTTGTATAAATCAGCTCTATATAGGGCCTCCCCGGTGGCGCAGTGGTTGAGCACTGGGTTGCGAAGCTGCCGCGGCCTCTGCAGCGCTGGTTCGATCCCCGGCTGCTCCCCGGCCACTGGAGGAGGGTCCCACATGGCGCGCAGACCTCTCCTGCCGCCCGCTGCTCCCCTCAGCAGTGTACTTCAGTCCTTCTGCCTGCTCTGCTCCCCGCTCTGGTGAATTCTCTCACCCTCCTGCACTTCTGACTGTACCCAGTGCTTGGATAAATAAATAAATAAATAAATACATAAAATTAAAAAAAAAAGAAAAATATTAAAAAAAAATCAGCTCTATATAAACTGTAACTTTAATACGGGCAATTGCCTTCATGACACAAATTGAGTTCAGAATGACCAAAAATTAAAGGTAACCAAAGGTAAGGTAAAAATAAAGCAAAAACAAAAAACCCAAAGTTCAAGAAGTTATCTGACCCAGAGTATGGAAACTTCTGTATCTCTTATGAGAAATATAAAGCAAATAAGTAATTTGAGCTTAAACCATTTAACAGAAGAAATGACTGTGCTTTCCCTTACTTACTATGAGGCCCTATCTAAAAAAAACTTCTTTAGCCCTTTAGTGCCTGCCTCAGATCAAGTAAATCACCACTAGGGAGGTAGAGAGGGAGTGGGAGCAGTCAACGGTAGGGGAAGTGAGTGTGAGGTAATGGCTGAAGTATAGGACACTGTACTTAAATGGAAATAAAGCAAAAACAACTCATACTCACTGAGTGAACACAGGAGAGTCCTGTGGAGTTTTAAGGTACATTCATGTGCTAGCAGTGGGAGAAGGGGGTTAGCTGAGTGAGGCATGAGCTCCTAGCTATTACCAATCCAGCCCCTGAGAGGTTTTTCTCAAAGATGGCAGCAAAAGAGACAAGGCTGGGATGAAGTCATGTTAAAATTCAGCATACAGCCCTTGAAGTAAAAGTAGAGTTTAACCTCCCACTTTTAAAAATTCAACAAATGAGCAAACTCTAGGCCAAATGAATAAAATGAGCCAGGTTGCTCACTATCTATTTTTCCATTTCCATGCATTTGATTTGAAGATCCCTTTGCTCCTTAAACAACATGAACTGCATCATCTTTAACTGGAAGAAAATGAACATGATTATAATGCAGAAGACCATACAACCTTCTGATTCCTGATATGCATTTCCAACTCGGGGGACCCCCAGCTAATGGGGAAAAATTTTTCATTCCTGGGGTCTTCCAGCATCCACATATATGACACTACTTTTTATCAAGAACCACAAATTGTAGGCTTTCCCAACTTCAGGCGCCCCCTCTGCAGACAGGACCCAGGATGAGGATGGCAGCTACTGTTAAAAGTCCCTAATTATTTTTTTTTAATTTTGCTTGGGCATAAGGTAAGACTAGGATGTCCATGGGTATACCTGTTCTCCAAAGAACTGTGTCATAGAAGAAGGAAAATTCCATCTCAGTGTGGTGCTCCAAGGAGGCCCAGCCCCGGGGGGCCGTCACATAGATGTAGGACACGTAGAGAGGCACGTGCACTGTCAGGAACGACTGGGCCGAGTCTCTCACCTGCCAAGCAAATGGTGGGCACAAGAGAGAATGATTTATTTCCTGGGATGCAAAGCCATAGGTTCAGCACACCTCAGTTCAACTGTCACTCACACATTTGGTTTTACATTCAATACTTATTAGTCAAGTGCACATAACTGCACCAACACCAGGTTAGGTGCTGTGTCCTTACTGGTGGGGAAAACCCCAAATCACTGCCCTTATGAAATCTGCAGTCTGGTAAAGGAGATCCAGACATTAAACAATAAAGTAGGTAGAGGATGATGGGATATGGCCAGGATGCTTCTTTAGAGAGGGTTATGGGATGGCTTTTCTGAGGATGTAATACTCAAATGGATTAAGGAGTTTCGTCTCCACAGTTCAACTGCTAGCAACTTTGCCTGCCATGTTTTAATTATTAATTATTTATTTTATTTTTGAATAAAAACAGAATAAAAAGTCTGGAAATACATGAATATGTACCAGCAACAAACACTTAAAAAGTGTGGTTATTTCAGAAAAGTAGAAATGGAGAAAACGTTTTCATATTTATATTTATATACAGCAAGTCCTCAAGTAACAATGTTTTGCTCAATGTTGTTTTGTAACAAGGTTGATAAGAAAAACAAAACATTGATTCCTGGGGCCCTGACTACTGTCTGAGAGGAATTTGCTTATTTCCCCATATCTGCATGGGTTTTTTTCCAGGTACTTGGATTTCCTTCCACATCCTAAAGATGTGCAGGTAAGGTTTACGAGTGTGTCTCAATTGTCCCAGTGTGAGTGAGTGGGATGCGTGTGAGTGTGATCTGCAAGTGGAAGGGGGTCCTGCTCAGGGTGGGTGCCGGCCTCTGGTGCCGGGATAGGTTCTGGCCAATAGAGACTCTGAAGAGGAGTAAGTAGGTTGGAAAATAAATGAATGAATGAATAGAAAGGGTAGTTTGGTATTGCAGAGTTGGTGATATACTAGTGATCAGAGATGTGCCATGGGAACTTAACTCTTGTTTACCAATTACTGGCTGATTATTAAAATATCACAGTTATTCCTAAAGATGGACCTGGTAGATATGGGATCTGTCCCTTGCTGACCATATTTTCCAGTGACCTACAGGAAAGTCTGAATAACCCTAGTTGGGAAGATGACCAAGTGTGGATACTGGGAATGGCTGTGGGACTGACTTAGATGTTTTAGTGAGACTCACGACTCCTATTTCAGGCAGGTTATGGGATTTTCATGTCAAATCCCAGAAACTTACAACAGAGAGCTCAGGGCTGCATCTATTCAGATAAGTTCACATTCACACAATGCTTTGTTAAAATAATTTGGAAGCAACATATATTTCCAAGACAGTATTTCCAAGGGAGTTCTGTTATTATTTGGCTCAGTTATTTCTATTTTACTATGCAATGAACAAAAACTGGATGATAAAATATGAGCAGAAGTTTTTATGTGAAGCTATATCTATGTGTAAGGATAGGGAGTAGATTTATTCATTTAAAAATATGTTTTATATTGTTTCTCCATAAATATATATTTTTATAACAACAAAAGGTTTAAAACAATTCTACTTTGTCCATATTGTTAACAAATTAAATAGTATCTTGGTAAAAGACTATAATATACTATGAAACTTACATTATTCTTTTGTTTGCAAATGTAATACAAAGCATCTTTGTGGGAAACTTAGGGAAAGACCAAATGCTTTATTAAAAATTTATGATATCAAATCTTTCTTTTTCTAAGGTGATTTTTTTGTATCTAAAGTTGCCAGGGATTTAAAATCTGATGAAAAGTTTTCCAAGACACTCTACTAATTCCATATTCCTTGAACACCCCTTTCTGAAATATGTTTACTGTTTTCTTTAGAAAATTTCCATATCTTATATGACCCTTATTCCACATTCTGTCTCATTAATATGTATACTAAATACACTCGCCCTAGTCTTACAATTACTGATATTAGAACCTCAATAAATTATCTAGTTGACGAACAAATTATAATTTTTCCTCTTCTGTTTCAATTTTTTAATCCCTGGGTTGCGAAGCTGCAATATGACCTGACTAATCTTAACCAATAATAAAAAAAAATCAACACTGACAAATATTCACTACATATCTGCACTATGCTTTATTGGTGACAATTTCAGATGAGGTTCAGAAGTTATGTAACCTTCACATCTGCTGGTATTTAATAGGGACAGGGAAGAGGGGGGCTTGGTTTTAAGTTCTATGTTCTTTCCAACAGTTGTTTCAACTATTTTCAAAGAAATAGTAACAATGAAATCTTCTGTGCATATATCCTTTCTGTGTTGATAATAAGAAATCCTAGTCTTTGAGAGTATTAAATATATTCTGAACAAAAATATGATTGAAGTAAAATCATGGAGAACAGAGCTTACTGACTTTTTGAGGAATCAGAGAAAGAACCACTTAGGTTTTCATTTTTGAAAGTGAATGTAGGTTATGCAACCGCACAAACATAAAGAGCACCTAAGAATGCCTTAAAATTCTGCTCAGTAGAGGGCAGTGGTGTATACAAAATGAGAGGCATCACAAAGAAAGTTAAACAAATTTTAATCAAAAAGACTTTCCTCGAATGATTATTCTAAGTCCCTCTACAAGTTCCCTCCTTTAGGGAGGTTAAATCTGATGTGCAATGAAAAACTAACATCTAATTTTTAGTTTATTGAGATAACTGCTAAAATTAGGGTCAAATCTGCTTTGAATTCATCTATTATGAGGATGCACTAATCTAGCCCTTTTGTAGAATTGCCCTCCTGTGACTCAGACTTCTTGATAAAAGATTCCCTATTGTTACTATAGTTTAACGACTATTTTAAAAGGTATTTGTTTTTGTGAAGATTGTCAGTTTGGAAGAGGTAAGAAATCACTGATTCAAACAATTATCTCTCCATAATGCCTAGGACGACAGTTCTCTACTTGTTTTCTAAAAGACTGGGTACCCTGCCTGCCTGCTGTTTTTAACTCATTTCCCTAGGTGGAGAAGAGCATATATCTACTTAGTAATAACCCTATCATCAAATGTAAATCTTTCTGGCTTTCCAAAATAAACCCAGAGGGAAAAACAGACATGCCTCTAGAAGTGAATACTAGATTTTTATACAAATAAATGTGCAAGGCAGTCATTTTTTTCCACATTAATTTAAACACTTCTCACATTAATATTCTAATTGTTGATTTAGGACTTTTGAGGGCTCTCTCTAGTCACAATGCTGCTAAGGTCTCACTCAAGGGAATTATTAAGAAAGTGACTCCCTTGGTTGGTTCACTTAGGCATGGATGCAAAACGCTAACTGAAGTACTTCGGGAACAATGTTTCACACAATACCCAGGGGTAGGCAGTCCTCAGAGCAGCCCTTGGAGCACCCACCTGGAAGTCAGCAGTCACAGACCCCCCACAGACATCAATTAACTCGGTCATGTCATAATATGCATCAAAGGTCCAAACGCAGCTTTTCAGGTTCAGGTGTTTGTATAACTGGATGGTCTTTGACTCCCGCACACTGGAGTCAAACTGGAAGGGGCGGTCATAGCCAGGCCCCAGGGCAGTGCTGTCATAGACTGCATCGTCCAGGAACCCTGCCTCTGTGCAAGAGGGAAGGAACAAGAAACAGTAATTCAGCCTGTGCATCTGTGCCTTGCTGGCTTCCCCGGTGCTGGGCAGGGAAAAGGGGTGAGTCCTTTTGACATCGAGAGAGCTTTCCCTCCATAGATGGTCCCCACCGCACTCTTGAAAAGGCTAGGGGGGCCTGGTAACTGCCAGGTGTCACATGTTAAACCAGTTTAACCACTGGTTACAGACGCCTCTAAGGGGCTGCAGGAACCTGGCATACCTCAAATAAGAAAACATACTGAAACTTGGCATGTCACACCTGGAAAGTCTGGTTTATGCTTTACAATCAGTCCTTGAAGAGGGGGCTTTATGAGATGGGTAATCTGCTGAGGAATGATTATTTTGTTAAGAAGGATTTTAACAAAAAAAAAAACAAAAAACTGCTCTTATGGAAAGCCAACAAACAAACACTTCTGACTTCCAGCCTTCCCTCCTATGGCTTCTGAAATCTTAGGGAAAAAAAAATCCTAATTTTGTGTTAATGAGTAAATAGTTCACTAATGATGCTTGACTAAACCTCCCCTGCTACAGGCAAAAATTATTGGATCAAAGGCTGCCAAGCAAGTGAACTGTTCTAAATTAAGGGAGACCTTTCTGCGGCAGAGCTGAATACAGATATAATTTTAGAATGCGAGGGTTAAAATTTCTATAGTACTAAAAGCAACGACAGCATTCTGAAGAGCTGATGCCTTTCTTTAAATGTTTGACACCAACACCCAACCTGCTGGCCCACAAAGCCCCAGATCTTGATGAACATGTGTTGGATTTAATCGTGTTTAAGCGGGAAGAGGCACAGACTTTCAACCTGTAAACATAGTATGTTTCCTTCATTAGCTTGCATATGCGGGCCAATTAAACTTTTATGTGCAACTCAGTGATTTACAAATAATTTACACTCAGCTAATTTCTACTGTATAAAGACCTTCACTACCCAAGTGATGCTGCTTAATGAATATGAAAGAGCATATGATTGCTTTCATATCTTCAAAAACACTGTTAAATGATTCACCAGTTACAAAGGGAGGAAATGCACATTTAATGTACACTTGCTGAGGTAGATAGAAATGGACAGCATTCTTTGTCAAGTAAAATGTCTGCTCTGGTGACTTGGAGATGTAGAGTCTCAGCTGCCAGCTCAGGTCTGTGTCCCTGCAGATGGCTGCAATGCCGGGTCACGCCATAGACCGTTGACAGGAAGGTCTGCCTGCTCTAGCTGGAAGTGGGTCAAGTCTGAAGGATGGCTCCCTGGAGACACAGTTGGTTGAGGCTCTGCTTGGCCACACTGCCATCTTACTTTCTGTCTTTCCCTTTAACAGGCATGGATCCCTCATAAACATCTTGCACCCAAACTCTATCTCTGCTCATGCTTCGAACAACTTAGCTTATAATCTCTAACATATATACTTTAGTTTTCCAAAATGGTGTGATAATAGGATTTTAGAGCATAGATCCAAACATATTCACTGCAGGAGAGGGAAAGAAATAAAATTTACTATGATGGGTGCTTTAAAAAAACATCCACACATTTAATATTCACCTTGATGGGTAGCAATTGTTATCTTCAAGTTATACATAAGAAAACAGTGGCTCGGGGAAGTTACTTCTTTTCAGTTAAATAAGTAGTCGAATAAGGATCTGGATATAAGCCAGTTTGATTGCATTTACTTCTTTTTCTGAGCTGCCTATGCTTGGTCACTTGCTAAGGAAATCTACTAATCATGCAGATTTTGAGGACTGAAAAACATAGAGTTCATATAGCCACATCCCCGGAGGCCAGTGCCTGGGGCTGGATGGGAAAACCAGCATAGAACTTGTTCTCTCACCTGAGATGCCCCTCAAGTCGTGGGTGGTGACGAGATTGGAGCAGACGTGCTGGTGTCTGTAGATGGACTCAGACAATAGAAAATGCAAGTTGTGCAGGGGCATGGTGGAGATAAGGGGCAGCATTCCATCCTGGTGTGGGATCTGCACTGAAATATGGATTCTAAGAGAAAAGGACATAAATACGTGTCTGACTGCATTCTATAGTTAATATGGTACAGTTCTTTCTCATAATGTAATTTGTCTGCACCAAAGATTTACCAACTTTTCTGAAGATTTCCACGTAGAATTCTATCTGTACTTGAGGTTATAGAAGCACATGTAGGATTGGTTACCCCTCAAGAAATCCTCTAGACTCAGACCTAATAGCAATGAATAATCATAGATATTTTTTTCTATACAAGAAAAGTTAATATCACAACCACAAATTACTTTAAAGCTTTTTGTAGGTTTAAAAGGAAGCTTTCTTTCCATGAGCTAAAGCTGAGTGACTGATACTGATGTTCCACTGCTCTGTACAATTTTTTAAAATTAATTATTTATTTATTTTTAAAGAGGCATGTATTTTATTCATTTATTTGTTTGTTTGTTTGTTTGTTTGTTTGTTTATACAAGCACTGGGTACAGTCAGAAGCGCGGGAGGGTGAGAGAATTCACCAGAGCCAGAGCAGGGAGCAGAGCAGGCAGAAGGACCGAAGTACACTGCTGAGGGGAGCAGAGGGCGGCAGGAGAGGTCTGCGCGCCATGTGGGACCCTCCTCCGGTGGCCGGGGAGCAGCCAGGGATCGAACCGGCGCTGCAGAGGCCGCGGGCAGCTTCGCAACCCAGCGCTCAACCGCTGCGCCACCGGGGAGACCCCTCTGTACAATTTTTTTAAAGATTTATTTATTTATGCATAAAGAACTGCGGTGTAGGCCAGAAATGTAGGGGTGAGAGGATCTACCAGAGACAGAGTGGGGAGCGTAACAGGCAGATCTACTAAAACACACTGCTGAGGGGAGCAGTGGGTGAGACAGATGAGGTCTGCTGCACCATGTGGGTAGCTCCCTGGCCGGGGATGGAACTCAGGCTGCAGTGGCTGCTGATTGCTTGATAGCACTGTGTCTTTAACCCCTGCACCACCAGGGAGGCCCTACTCTGTAAATTAACGTCTGAGCAGGTTGGGTAGAGACAACACTCATATTTTCTTTAAGTATTTGTTTGTGCCAAAAAGACATCATTAAGCTCTTAAACTAATAAGGCCAAGATTCCTATCCAGGAAGCTTCTTAGAAATAATAATATCCTGGGGCCTCCCTCGTGGTGCAGGGGGTTAAGTCGCAGCACAATGAAGCTATCCACAGCCACTGTAGCACGAGTTCGATCAGCCAGGGAGCTACCCACATGGTGCAGCAAACCTCTCCTGTGTTGCCTGCTGCTCCCCTCAGCAGTGTTTTTCAGTAGATCTGCCTGTTCCGCTCCCCACTCTGTTTCTGGTGAATCCTCTCACCACCATACCTCTGGCCTGAACCCCAATTCTTGTATGCATAAATAAATAAATCTTTAAAAAAAGAAATAATATTCCACTACTCATACTACATCTTTCCAACTCTCCCTTCTTGTTCCTATCCCTACAAGTTCTTTCAAAGACTCATACAGGCCCTCACTGGCCTCAGTCTGCAGCATGCTCTTCCTTGATCTACATTCCTCAGCATGCAGGTGCCTTTGTACAGGAAATCTGTAACTTATTTATATTGGCTCTTATTTCTTGTATGTTTTCAGGCTCTGTTTATCTTGCCTTCCCACTATGAGGACAAGGACCATTTCCTTCACTTCTTTTGTTTCTTAAGAGCATGCAGTATATAATTCTAAATAAAATATGAGCTTAATAAATACTGGTTAAGACTGCAACACAGCAGAACTGTACTTAGGGTCTGCTTTTTTTCCATTGGACAAGTTTACATTTTCAGCATGCTTATTGAGGCTGCATTTTCAGTTATTATCGCTTGTGTCTTGGAGCTAAGACCCACATTTTAAAGTGGAATAGGACCTTGGAATATGAAGAGAGTGTCTCCTGCTAGGAAGGGTTAGGTAGTGCTTTGAACACATCTGTTTTTGCTCTTTAACCAAAATAAATTTCATTTTGTTAGGAAAAATAGAGGGATTTGCATATACTTGGTTCCATATTTAAATGTTTTATTTCCCTTGCAAATGAACCCCTTTCTCTGAATTCAGTTGCTCATAAAGGTCTACACATAAACACTATGGTGTGTGATGAATATACATAGCATACATGCATTCTTTTTTTGCTATGCAAAAACTAAACTAGCCATCTTTTATCAAGCTCATGGTGGCTCACAAAGAAATAAAAGCACATCTGTCCAGTGACTTATGGTTTACACAGTGTTATTAGTCATTTGTTTACCAGATATTTAACAAATCCCTCTCAGATGTCAAGAAGCACCTTACTAGAAGAATGCAAAATAACAATCATGGTGCCTGCTCTCACCATCCACTGTGGGGAGAGGGAAAGAATGAGTGATGATAATGATGCTCAGAGAGATGTATACATGAGTGCCAAAGGAGTTGGAAGGAGTTTCCAAATTTAAATTAGGGAAGAGATGGACAATCACTAGAAGAGGTGCTATGGGTTTTTCTACAAAGAGTGGAGGGAGCCAAGGGAGAGAGTTGGGGATGGCAGTAGCAGCAGGGCAGAGTCATGCACCCTAAAAGAGTTTGAAGCCCTGGAGAAGTTATACATGATTCTATGTGGATAGATAGAATAGCAGGTAAAAATGACAAGGTGAGGGAAATGAGGCTAGGAAGTTAGGCACGAGACCTTTTAAGAATTTAAACTTTTTATGCGTTCATCATCGCTATTCTTAATTTGTAAAGCATCACTCCTTGTTATGTCTCACCTAGAAAACACAGGAAGGACAGCTTGAGATTTATTCTTCTTCTCATTGTGGAAGGTATCACCTACTGACCTGTTTGGATGCTCCTTGTGTTTGACATCCAGGTATTTCAAGGTTGCGATGAAGGACTGAGCCTGGAAGCCTCTTGCTGTCCCAGCCACCACTGGGGTGTGACAGATAGCACTGTCTGTACCAATGGTAACTATGTTGCTCCTTAAAGGTGTTCCCACATGGCCCACCTTGTCCACAGCCTTTGCCACACAACGCACATGGAATCTCCGGCTGAAGTAAATACTATCTAGGACCTATCAGGAAAAATAAAGAATCTCAGAAATGTATATACTATTTAAACATCTGCTCCTTACTATATATCTTTTGGGTGATATGATAATACAAGTTCCTACTCCATGGTAGTTTATGAAGATCACCCATCCATTCATCCATCCGTCCATCCCAGAGTATTAATTTTCCAAGAAAAGCAAGGCAACTAGGGACAGAGCAGTGAGTACTTAGAGCCTAAGGTGGTCAGCAAGACAAAGACCCAGTAGACAGACATGGCTCAAGAACCCAGAGATAACTAGTTACCAGTGACAGTAATGCTCTTTTTATATATTAGGTTCAACATAAGGACCACCCAATTAGTTTCTAGTTAAGACTGGTCGGCCTTCAAGTCACTTTTGCTGAGGGCATGGTGTCAGGATACAGATAAGAGATGCTTCCTTCCCAGGAATTCTTATTTCTCTTTCCTTCCTACTGTTATTCCCATCTCCAACCCCACCTAATGACCCCACATGCTGCAAGAGGTTACAGTAACATACCAGTTTGAAGGTGAGACATTTGTCTTAACACCTACTAGCCTTTGTAGGTCTTTTTATAGATACTTTCATGTTCCCAGACATACTGAAGCCATAAGAGCTCTTAACTCAATCTATGCAGAGGCAATAAGGGTCACCCAGACTCTAGATTATGTGTGCACACACATAGGGAAGTACTTAAAAAGAAAAACTAATTAGTAGTTGTGTGTGCCATAGACCTCCCACAAAGCAATCACACAAACTTATAAATTCTACCCATGAAAACAGTTTTCATTGAAGTCCATTAAAAATTAAAGAAGATTTTCCATTAAATTTTTTTAATTAGCTGCCAATGTTTTATTTATTTATAAATGTGCTTAGTTCAGAAGGGATTTGAGACATCTTACGAAAATGTATACAATACAATGGTTTAAATAAACAGTTGAAGAGATAAAGCAATGGAAAATGAATAAAGAGAGTTAATCAACAATTCTCTGCAAGAAGAAAACCTGAAATGTAAAATATTGTTATAAATTTGGTACTTGGTAAAAATGTACCAAACATTCATTATTGTATCATGGATTTGTGGAATGGAGAATGAAATACTTATGAAATAATAAGTCACTAAGTCTTGCCATTAAAAGTTTTTAGTACTATAGAAGAGAATTTAAATTTGCACTAGGTTATGTTGCAAAAGAATTGATCTTCTGGTCTTTCTAGACAAACGGTGCCAATGATAATTGGCAGGAGTGAGCCTGATTTATCATATACTCCCATCTTTGACTAACAGCTTTCTTCCACTGTTATACCATTCAAGTGAAGTACTTACTGAAGTGAGAATAAGCTGCAGGTTGAAATGGAAAAATCTAGAGAGGTTTTTATGGAAATCTTTGATTTCCAAAATTAAGTGAACCAAATTCAATCAGACATCATCGAGAGCGTACCATATGCCAGATATTATGCTAAGCCTGACTCTCAACTTTCTTTCAGTTCTCTCTCTGAAGAGAACCAGCTTTACTGGTGCAGTGAGTAAGGTCACCATAGCGGACTGGTTCCTGAGTTGGAAAAACCATCACACTTGTTGCTTTCTGATGGTGGCAGAAGTGAGGGTCAGGTACCCCAGCTCTTTGAGAACAGCAAGAGCACAGTGATCTTTTCAGGTCCTCTCACAGGGCTTTGTAAGATGTGGAGAACTCAATGAACACACTGGACTTTTGTTTAATACCGGTTCCTACCCTGTGCCATCAGTGTGCTGGCCACTTCGGGATAAACAAACGTGGTAGAGCCCTTGGTCCATGTCCCTAAGGACTTTCCATCCTTCTATTTAGTGAATGGTTGAAGAGATGTGAAAAGAAATTGTTAATTACACCTACCTGAAATCTCTGTCTTATTTTACCATTTACAGATCACTTTTATATATGATTTGTTAACAAACTTGTCAAATGGAGGAAACTGAGACTCAGAGAGGTTGAGAAAATTCTTAACATCACAGTTAAAAACTGTTACAAGCCGAGGAAGCAGGTTATTTGACCACTAGCTTAGTTCTTTTTCAGCCATATTACTTTTCCTTAGATATAAGAATAAAAAGATGATGTGTGTACTTTTGAACCTACTTATTTATTTATTTTATTCCAACTGCCATGCAGGGTCTGAGTAACTAAGAGAAATGCCAGTTCTTTCCTTCCACAGCCAGGCCCAGATCCCAGACCTACCATGTGGTTGACACTGGTGAATGGTGTGTTGTCAGTGATGGTCTCAAAGGGAGACCGGGCCCCATTACCATCAGTGGGGGCAGCCACTTCCCAGCTGAACTGTACGGATGTCTGGTTGATGCCAGCCTCGCTGCAGCGCTCCTTCATGATGGCATACTTGGGGAAATGAGGGTCACAGGGGGTGACGCAGACCAGCGGGTAGCCTGGGGAGGGGGATTTCTTGACTCCTTCCTTGGTAACCTCTTCCACATGGTCATAGTCAGCAAGTGTGACAATCTGCAAAGGAGCAACAAAGACAAGCCCAGGGTTGATAATGGGAAGATCAGAGAACTAAGGTTCTCCTCCCCAGAGATCCACAAGATCATTCATCTTCTAGAGATTCTTGAAAATATAACAGCAACTTTTATAATGCTTTGCTAGGCATCCCTAAAAGACACTACAGCTCTTCAGGTGTGGAGAAGAAACTGAGCTAAAAGTTTTATTATCTTATTAATTGCATACTTAAATCAGAGTTCTTATCACTCATGTGAAAACTGTTAATGTACACAGAAGCATATTTGACAAATCAGAGTAAATAAAGGTTGTGTTTTTCTCATATGGTAAATAAGACATGTTTTCATATGATCCTTCTACTATATGAGATCAGTCAAGGGAGGTTAGAAGACATTTTGACTGCTTTGTAATTATGGGTTAAAATTCTCTTGGCAACTTCTAAGTCTTTTCCTCCTAATTGTAAAGTCAGTGCATTCATTCTACTCCAAGTTGGGAAACAAGTATCTAGAGATACTTCTATGCATGTATTGAATATGTAGGATGATATATAGGGGTAGTATTGCTGTTTTTAAAAACTATTTAGGTCTTACCAGAGAAATGAGAAGCTCAATCATATTGTAGTTTCTGCTTTCATCAGACTAAGGTGACAACATGGTTTGGTCTCACTCTTATGTCAGAACAGGATTTCTCACCTATGACACTATTGACATTTGTGCCAAATAAATCCTCTATACATTGTAGGATGATTACCAGCATTCTGGCCTTCTACCCACTACATACTAATAGCATCCTATGTGATAGTTTTGACAACCAAAAAAAGTCAACCAGATATTATCAAATGTCCCCTGCAGGTGGCAGGGGTGCAGGCCTTGAGAGGGGACAAGATCAACCCTGGTTAAGAACCAGTGCTAGGACATCAAAAAATTTCAGCATTGAATGCCCTGCTTCTCTCCAGTTCTTATCTACTGTTCACACAATGGTCACTTAGGTCAAACAACTCACAATGGGTGGTGCTGGCAGGATGAGACTTCCAGCTGCCTCCTGGTCTAGAATCGTCACTGTGGCTGTAGTCACATCGCCAAGAATTGCTTCCACTGGGTCATCCGGGCCAAGGACGATGGAGAAAGACTCATGCCATTCCCGGTCTTCATTAGACAAGATCTCGACTTTAAAAAAGATATGATCCACACCTTTGTCAAGGAGAGAACAAAAGGAGACAAAGGTCCTCATTAGGTGACCTACCCAAGACAGTGCAGATTGCCACTACTCATTGCCATGAGACTCCATGTTAAAATATGCCCTTTCCTTTAGAGGTTTCTATAAATGCTGTGGCTGCTAATCACTTTAGCCCCTTCTCAAATGAGGAATCTGTTTTATAGACCAAATTCTACCTGTGGTAATGCTCTGTATTGCAGATTTACTATTCAATACCCTATGAGGATTAATGGCCCCTGCCTGACACTAGCTGGCAGTAATAAAAATCTATGGTCCAAAATATATTCCATCCTGGTTATGAGTTTCTTTGCTTAATTCTTCTTTCCCCTTTATACTTAAGCCTGAGCTTCTGTGTGGTGGTGGGCACCTGCACACAGATACACTTTCAAATTTGTCTCCTGAGAAGCACTAGCTCAAAGGCAGACCAGTCTCTTCGAAAACAAAAACAAGAACAGAAAATGACAATGGGAAAGCTTGGGGCAGAGAAGAAGGGGCTGTAGACACAATGATTCTCTGATGGTGCAAATACCTGTGGCAGTAGTTATGGTTCCCTCCTCCCCTCCTACAGACACCTGTGCTAGTTACTTCTAAGTCCTACATTTCCCAGATGCTTATACAGAAAGGGAAAAAATACAGACATTTGAAGAGAGATCCTTGTACAGATTGCGGAGTAAGGGCAACTACCTTCCCAGCAAACACCAATCAGACACACATGGGGTGGAATCAAAAGTCTTTAAAAGTCCCAGTGGGGTGACAGAGACATACAAAGATGCCCCTCATTTCTGTAGGAGACATTTTCTCCTACAACTTGCCAAGTTATCTCTGAAGAAGGCTTCTAGCACTGTATCCTACTTCTGTCTACATCACAAGTGGTTCTTGGATTTATACTAGCCTTTTTCACCTTCTATTGCTCCAAGAAGTTCTGTGAAGAAACCTAGAATATAATTCAACCCCTTCCTTATATCACTCCTCCTGTTAAAGTAATATATCAGGCAGTCGAAGTGGTAATTATGGCCTAAATCTCATAACCTTTCCATGAATCATGTCTGGAGCTAAGATAAACCATTTTTTGGACACTCTACCACCTTACTCCTGTCTCCTTTTAGATGTTAAACCATTTGAGCACAGAGAACATGCCCCCTGGATTTAGAAATCCCTGAAAGGCCCAGCACAGGGCTTTATACCAGCGTTTGTTGAATAATAGCAACCAGAAAAGTATTTTTTTTAAAAACTGAATTATGCTATCACCCAACCAAATAACAGGCTAACAATAATAACAAATCCAAAATGCTCAGGTTGTTCTGTAGTAAGGGACTATTTTTTCTTTTTCCATACAATTTTTTTTAAAGGTTTATTTATTTATGCATACGGGAGCTGAGGCACAGACCAGAGATGTGTGGGGGGGGGGAGAGGATTCACCAGAGACAGTGGGGAACAGAACAGGCGGACTGACTGAAGTACACTGCTGAGGGGAGCAGTGGGCAAGAGAGGAGAGGTCTGCCTCGCCATGTGGGTTGCTTCCTGGCTGGCCGGGGATCAAACTCGTGCTGCAGAGGCTGCGGACTGCTTCACAGTGTGGTGCTTAAGCCCTTGTGCCACCAGGGAGGCTCAACCACACAATTTTTATAATTAAAAATTTTAAAGATTCTGGGCCTCCCCGGTGGTGCAGCGGTTGAGTGCTGGGTTGCAAAGCTGCCTGCAGCCTCTGCAGCGCTGGTTCGATCCCTGGCCACCGGGCAAGAGTCCCACATGGTGCGTAGACCTCTCCTGCCGCCCACTGCTCCCCTCAGCAGTGTACTTCCTCACTCTGCCTGTTCTGATCTCCACTCTGGCTCTGGTGAATTCTCTCACCTTCCTGAAACTCTGACTGTGCCCAGTGCTTGTATAAATAAATAATCTTTAAAAAAAATTTTAAAGATTCTGACAATCTAAAATGTGTGTTAGTACATAGTTTATGTTGTAACTATTGTTTTCCTCTTTGATTTTGTTCATTCCTTTCTTTCAGTTTAAGATATCTGCTTCTCTATTAAGTCAAACCCACAGATTGGGACTGGAATTCATTACCAGGACTGAACTTCAAGACTCGGCTCTTTGGGTAATAATCCACACCAGACTGGGCAGACCCATCCCTTGTGCTACAGCGAATCTTGGATGTCCTGTTCTGATCCCCTCTGCGGATGACTTTGATATTCAGGATAGCCATGGCATCTGGCCCCGAAGGTTCTCGAACTTGGTAGGCAGATTCTTCAAACTCTATGGTTGGTGCTAAGGAATCAAGGTTAAGAAAATAAGAATAAATTAGACTAGTCGAAAGGATTCAGACTCATGATCTTAGAATGACAAGAAGTAATTTTTCACATTAGTTAACAGTCCCAGGCAAAATAGCACATCATAAAAGCTTGAAAAAAGGGAATTTATTTTTAGGAGTTGTTTTTCATTAAAAACATACAGTGAAGGAGCTATTTGTATGCACTTTGAAATGCATGATGTCTAAATTTCCATTTAGGCATTACAGAATGTTCTTAAATTTGCAGGACTTACCAAGGGTTCGGTAAATATCTATTGATATGTATTGACTGATTATAGGAATCAACTCCTTTTTCCTTTATAAAATATGAATTTCTAAAATTTATATTATATACTACTTACATTTAGCAAATCCATCTGTCATCTCTGGACCTCTGGATCCTCCCTTTTGGAGGATCCACCCTCTCTTCTTAGCTTTTTCTAGCTTTTCACAGGTTATATAGTTAAGAATGAATAGTTTAACTGACTGACTACAATGATAAATCAGAAACACAAGACTTCCTAACACAATCTGGTTTGAGGTACGAGTCTCATTGTTAGGATATGATGAATACAATATAATGATTTTTTACAAAAAGACCAATTCTGCCTTCTTTTATATTATATTCTCATTGGGAAGGATGAGGCAGTAGTGTTAAAGTGAGATAAAGATGGGAAAATTGAGAGCAGTACATATTTTCTATTATTAAAATATATTATAGAATTCTGCAGAAATTTCTAGAGACTCTATGTTCATTCCTCTCTTTCCTTCTCCAAGAGTCAATTCTTTCTAATTATAGAAGATAAGCCTCATTTGAGCTGTGTAGTTTTCAATAAGAGTAGTCTTTAAGACTTAGCTTCCCTGCCTTAACATAGTATGAATTTGTTCTTTCTCTGTCTCAATTTTTTGACTGGGAGAGATTCACCTCAGGATTCAAAATTTAAGTCTTCTTGAGTAAATGACTAATTCAACTTCAAGGCTGGCTTTTCTTGTTTTACCCAACATCCAAGTTAGTCCCTGATTTTATATCAGAAACTCAAGAGTCTTCCTGACTCTTCTGCATATCTTAGAATCTGATGAAATAAGGTTTCACACTCAGTTTTGGGGCTTCTAGCTGTGTAACTAAGAGCTCAAATTACATAACTTTGTTGAGGCTCAATTTATTCACCTATAATATTATGCATAATAGCTACTTCAAGGGGTTACTTTCAGGATTAAAAGAAATAATGCAACATGTTTATCATCGTTCTTGGTAGACAGCAAATATTTAATAAAATAGTGATTACTATTTGCAATATAATTATCCACGCACTCATTAATATATCCACTTTAACAAAACAAAATTATGTCCCAATTTGAAACAAATTTTGTTTTTCCTGGTGCCTGGGTCACTCTTAGCCCACACCTGCCTACAGAATTTTTTTTAAAGATTTACTTTTATATATTTATGCATATAAGAACTGGAGAGTAGGTCAGAGGTATGTGTGTGAGAGAATTCACCAGAGACAGAGTGGGGAGCAGAACAAGCAGATCTACTGAAAAACCCTGCTGAGGGGAATAGTGGGTGAGATGGAAGAGGTCTGCTGTGCCATGGGGGATAGCTCCCTGGCTGGAGATCAAACTTGAGTTGTAGAGGCTGCCGATAGCTTCATAGTGCTTAACCCACCAGGGAAGCCCAGTGGCTACAGAATTTAAGTCATTTTCTAGGTTAGTAGATCAAATCAAAGAGAAGAAACCTGATAAACTAGACTTTTTTTTCTGGAAGGAGTAACACTGAAATCAGTTACTGGATTTAGCTGATTCTGATCATATTTCCAATCCCACTCTTGAACTGCAGTGACTTATATAGTTTTATTCACTGGCTGTCTCAGCATCTCTGTTCTAGTTTTTAATCATACTTCCCTATCTCTTGGCAATGTGGCAAAGAATAATGAAATTAAAAACACCTATAAACTTCTTGGAGTTCTGGAGGGAGTGATAATTTGCTGACAAAATTTTATATAAGTAATTTGAAACTGTCATCAGCAGACACTTTCATAATAGTACTTTCATTTTTTAACCCCCTCCATAATTAATTACATTATTAGTAAAACATCAGTTCACATTTCATCACCCTAAGAGTAAGTAAAGGCAATGTCTTCTGTTACCATCTTCATCATTGGTTATTGTGATGGTAGCCATATTATTCTTTCCAACTCTGGCTCCACTCCAGTGGTTTCCAAGAGGATGGCCAAGGTAGACCTTGAACTGTTCCTCAGGCTCAAAGATGGAGTCATCATGGATAGAGACAGTACAGTTCTTCATCTAGGAACAATGGCACAGGATAGATTAAAATTTGCAATAATGTATTTGTTTTCCTAGAAAATTATTTTCTTCTTTGCAACATCAAAGAGTCAACACAATTCAAAAAGATTCAAACAGTTTCATTTATAAAATATGACATTAAAATCTATAATAGTTCTGCCTCAGTAAGATTTAGAACAGTCCAAACATTGTGAATTGTTGGTCATAGTTGTGAAAAACAAGAGTTATAAAACCCACAAAGATAAACCTATAGATTATTTGCATGCTTTCCCACATTTTGCCCAAGCAGATCAATATATTTGCACACATTTTGAGAGGCAGATTTCTGTTGGTGGGGGTTTAATATATTGATTACACTTTCAGGAGAGCTGAATGATGTTCCTTCACCTTTGTCAAAACTGAATAGTCTTACACTGAACTCACAAAAGCTTTTCCTGTTGGGGTAAAGACACCTTTAAATGCTGCAGAGCTCTCAAATCCGCTGCCAAATAGTGTCACATCAGAAAATTGCTGACTATTGAATATCTGAAAACAGTCTAAATCCCTCTTAGATGGAAAGAAATCAAATGTCTCCCAAACCAAATACTCTCTACTGAGAATTGTATTATTGAAAAAAAATTGAATTAGGTCACAATATTTACATGACAGAGCAGCCTCAATAATACAGCCATGTGATATGAGGGGATTATTTTCAGTTGTACCATTTTAACGATACTACCATATTGCAAAGGATATGTTGGCATAGAGTAGTGTCACTCTCACTTCCTAGGTCATGCTGAATGGCAGGAAAATATTCCTGTGAACATTCATATGTGGCTACTACATCTTTCTTATAATAAGAATTTCTTTTTTTCCCCCAAAGATTTATTTATTTATACATACAAGAACTGGGGTACAGGCCAGAAGTGTGGGTGGTGAGAGGATTTACCAGAGACAGAGTGGGGAACAGAACGGGCATATTGACTGGAATTCACTGCTGAGGGGAGCAGTGGGCAAGTCAGGAGAGGTCTGCTGCGCCCTGTGGGTAGCTGCCTGGCCGGGGATTGAACTCATGCTACAGTAGTGTCTCAGCTTTATAGGCTGTGTTTTAATGCCTTGTGCCACCAGGAGGCCCCATAATATGAATTTCTTTATGGAAGGTATGCATTTAGTAGCAACTCCTTAGAATATCTTTCAAAAAAGACATTTTAGTGAATGACAAGTTTCAAAGACATATTGCTAATCAAGCCAGAGAAGATGAAGATTCTAAAATGTGCTTATGAATAATGATAGATTGTCAAGTGAGTAAAATATAGACTATTAAGATATAATTTCTTTATAATTTTATTACATTATAAACTGTCTCTTGGATAAGCAGCAGATCTTCTTTTGAACTGACAACGACTACAGACTTGTCAACTCAAAGCTAAAGATTGTATCTGTAGTATTTGTGTCTTTAACCATGTGTTTCAACCTGCCAACAGTAAAATTCCCATAAAATGCATAATTAAGATAGGGTTTTTATTAGTCACAAATGTATAAAGACTGAGAGTACCAAAGAAGGAAGTTATCACTTTTTTTGGTAGTAAAGAAAAACCGAGGCAGAGTCTAGGGTGATGTAGGATAGAGAAGTCTTCTTATGCTCAACTTCAAAAAGGGCTAATCATAAAGCAAAAATGTTTTAATTTGACTATCAAAATTGAAGACTTCTGTTAAAATAAAATACCATGGATAAAGGTAATTAGATAACTGACAGAAAGGGAAAATATGTTTGTAATCTCTAAATGCCTAAAACTTACAAAAATTTACCATTAAGAATATACATAAAGTACTGCAAAGGAAAAGAAAGCTAGCAATGCAACAAAATAAGGAACAAAAATACAAATAACAAATTTACATAAGAGGAAACCTAATAAGCTAATAAACATAAAAGCAGTCATAATTAGATATATGCAAATTAAAATGAAACATAACGATACATATTAGATGTGTGAGCAATGCTCAGCGTTGGAGAGGATGTAGGGTTATAGCAAACTTGTGTACTTCTAGCAACTTTCTGGAACGTATTCTCACACTGTTTTTTCAAATTAAGTAAATGCATGGCCCATGGTCCAGAAATTTTGCTACTGAATGAATTCAAAGAAATTCCCCTTCAGGTCTGCAAATTGATATGTCTGAGACTGTGTTCTACAACATTATTTCTAGTGGCAGTGTTAAGTGTTGGCTGAGAGCTTTCTCTGAAGTTCTTCATTGTCTATTGCTGATAGTGGGTGGGTAAAATGTAGTTAAATGCACATATGAAATAGGCAACAGTTCAAAGCAACAGATAAGATGTACAGGTCTTAGAACACATTGCTGAGTAAACACAGTGAAAGTTTGAAAAAGATACAACACAACGGTTTTATAAGTAAAAAAATATGCACCCAAAACAATGGGCATTTTGAAAGAACAAAAACAAAATAAAAGATGTACAATAAGCATGACTGATGAGCTCTGAGGTGGGGGAGGGAATGTGGCTGGAAAACAGGGGCAAGATAAAATGAATAAATAAACAAAATAAGAGAAGGATGTTGAACTGTCCAGTGAGGAGCAAATGCCATAAACCAAAGGGTATAATTCACTCAATTATCTGAAACTGAGGTTAAAAAAAATTAGGGAAATAGTCTCATTCAACATATTCATTCAACCTACACTGAAGTTGCAAGCTTTGGTTCTGATGCAATTCTACTTGGTGATTGGAGTTTCTCAGGAGTTTTTGGGCCCAAATAGATCACTTTTCTAGTACATTCGCATGAAGATATTTGATTAACTTGAATCTGCTCAGTGTCTGCCTATTTGGTCCTATTCTGTGGGGCCTAAACTAGTATGTTGCCCTGGGACAGGTGCCCAGCTGTGAGAGAAGTATCTCTCCTTCATTTAGTTACACTGGTGGAGTGTTCATTTCTAACTTGCTTTTAAATTAAGAGAAGGCCTCATTCATTTGATTCTGCTAAATTCCCAAAATGTTATACATCATCTAAATTTCCATCAACTAATGATATATGTATTTGACTAGAAGTGGGAGACAAAGAAAATAGCTACTTCAAAGAGATGACATAATGTAAAATATTACCAATTGCTAAGAACTTTTTAGAATGTTCAGAATTTGTCTAAATCACCTCACCATGGACAAATAAAGACATCAAGGAAGAGGGAAACTCCTCTGACGGCCAGCAGCAATCCACTTACTTTCTCCCCTTTCAGAAATGTAATCCGTGAAGAGTCTGCATTTCTTCTCTCCTCAAAGTCGTCCATGACCTGCGCCGAATGGCCCTGAGTATAGCACCTCACCGAAGACTCATAGCTCAGGTCTCCACTGCGAATGATAGGCACCTGCAGGATGCCCTCCTTCTCCTTCACTAGGAGCAAATCCTTGGCAAACTGCATGCTGGGCACTGGATGAGCAGGAGGAAAGATGGGGCATTACATTAAGTGAGAGAGAGGGAGGTGGCTGCAGCCCTCAACAGCCCCTCCCAGGAGAGTTGCAGAAGGGCCACCTTGGGCTGACAGGTGGTAAGGACTGCAAGGCACCATTGCTGCTCTCAGGACAAGGAAACAACATCTATTGTTGTGTGGTTCCAGTGATCCAGAATAAATCAATTTTGTACTTGTTTTTGCTCAGCTTTAACATATAATTACCGTTTCAAATGCAGACAATGCAAGTAAAGAAGCAGACCAGGTGTAAGAAAATTTTCGAGAGCAACCGCAGTCTTCAAAAAAGTTCACTTTCCTTTGGAGGTTACACTAAGGAAAATAGTGCAAGCCTGATGATAAATGGCCACTCACTTTGGTCTGGGGCCAGGGAGGCAATGTACCAATGGGGACATTGGTACAAAGTGAAAGAGCAGGCTCTGTTTAATGGGAGGTTGCCCCTAAGTGCCAATATCTTGTTAGCAGACCTTTCTATTTTCAAACAAAGCCAAAGATTTGGATTTTTATGTCTTAGTTTCTAACTTTTAAAGTAGCAACCAATTAAAATAGTAAAAAGAATTCCATACAGGTTAAAACTTTCAGGGCCAAACAAAACACAGTCACATGTTAAATTCAGCCAGTGGACCCCCACTGTTATAGAGTTACCTCTTCTTTTATAATTCACATGACCCCACTGACTTTCAGGGGGCACCATAGCTAAATGGTGGTTAAAACCAAAGGCTTTGGAGTAAACAGGCCCAATTTTCCATACCCACCCTGCTACTTATTGGCTGTACGCTATAAGGCAGATTTCTTAGGTTTTTCAGAGGCTGGGTTTTTAAAAATATATGAATTGGTAATATAATCTCTAACTCAGGGAGTTGTTGGGAAGATTGAATTTAACGAGGTAATGTATGCATGGCATTCAATACAGCATCTAGCACATAGCAGGAACTCAATTTTTGGTAGGAATTATGTTAAGATTTGCATTATTGCAGCTCCAAGCTTCTCAATACAAAGGATCATTTTTTTCTTCCTATTTTGTACAATGCCTAAAGTAATGCTCTGTGTAAGATTCGGACAAACATTATGTTGACTGCTGCTTATTAATTTCTTAATGAACAATACAGAGAACAGTCCCCCCAGTCATATGTCAAAGCCTTCTGCAGTCTTTGGGGCTATCGGGAGCTATAGTCACTCATTTCCTGGCTGTGTTTTTGATATGCCCCATCAAAACTGAAAGGAAGGAACAGGAAAGGTAGAAATCACCCAAGCATTCTGTATATTTATATAGAAAGCTGTATATTTATGTGGAAAGCTCTGATTGCCTCCAGCCTGAACACTCTCTGACCTGTTGGCAATAGCAAAAATAAAACATTTTCTCTGAGCTAAGACTAACAGTTACCATTTACTACAAACAAAATGCAAGAAGCTATCCCTTAAAACACCACCACACCTAAAGGAAAATTAACAACTTTTGCATTAGGCCCTGCAGTGGTGAAGGGCTCTGTTATCCAATAAAATGTTAAAGGGTAGGTGGCAATGACATGACCTCTTGGAGGAGAACAAGAAAGAAGCTTGTTACCAGGTAAAAAGCAAGGAAGCTTTATGGTTCATGGCAGATTATCTAATGCTTTGGATTGATTTTTCCTGCTGGCCCCACAGGCATCAAGTCAGATGAGAAAGTTAAAAGTGAAAGTGGTACTGTTTGGGCTTTGTCATGTATTAATCAATCCAAAATTTCCCTTGAGCTATAAAAGTCTCCTTTTTTCTCTTTAACAAGAAATTAACCCTCACTCTTATCCCTATCTGAGGGGGGAGGAGAGGAAGAGAGGGGCAGAGAGGCAGAGAGACAAAGTGGCTGTTTTGGATCTGCCCTGTCAAAATCAAAAGGAAGGAAAATCTTATGAATTTCTGAAGGGAACAGTTTCTGCTTTTAAGGTGCCCCCAGTCCAGGGAGAGACAGAGACAAGAGATAGTGGAAGACAGACAGTGAGTTCAGGAATAGATTCCTTCGTGAGAATGATGGCATACAATGGTCCCAAAGGGTTTCCACAGATGTCATTTCATGTCATCCTCTCAGCACCAGAAACATGAATGATAATTTCTTCCCCATATTCTTATGTAAAAATGTGTACATGCATGTGCTCATACATACACATTTCTTGAATGACAATGTGAATGACTTCCAATGTCACACACATGGAAGATAAGGAGAAAATAGAAATATAGTTTGAGCCACCAGCTGGCATCCCGAACTCTTACCATCCTGGAATGTATCATTAATTGCAATGACAGCCTGGAAGGGTTTGGTCAATTCGGCGCCTTGTGCTGAGCTGAGGAAAACCACAAATGTCTCTAGTCCTTCAATGACGGGATACTGAGTGTCATCCAAGATAGTTAAGGTGCAATACTAGAAGAGAAGACAGCATGTTAACTAGACCCGTTGCAATATATACAATTATTGAATCATTATGTTGTATACCTGAAACTAATACATGTCAATGATAGTACAATATATTTTTCTTAATTTGAAAAAAAGCAGAAAATTCAAAGCAAACTTAACAGAGTACTCAGGTCAAAGATGACAATTTGCCTTTGGTGGTCTTTAATTTTTTTAAATCCATAAAACAGTCATCTCTTTATTGAATACCCTTAGGTATTATTTTTCTAGATATTTATATCAAACAAGTGTCATTTGTATCTTCAATCAGTGATTCTGAAAATATCACCTGGAGACTGTAGATGATTTCCCTCGTTTGTATGTTTAGATTTTTAAAGTAAAGGAAGGTAGTAATATCGCAAGGGGGGGGGTTCAGAGTCCTGCAGAGAGTTTGGAGAGCTGACCAGAGACAATGTTAACAGATCCACCTGGGGTTTGGCCACTGCAGTTTGCTCACCTGCTCAGTGACACCTGGCCCAAACTCCACCTTCCGAGAGCTGGGGACATAGTCCACACCTGGAGTGGCAGAAGCCGGGTCCGAGGGCCGAGTTGCACACCACACAGACGTGAAGGTGGAGAGGTCAGTGCCGTGGCGGATAACTGGAATCTTTACTGTGCCTGAAGCGAGATTCACAAAGATTTCAATGGTCAACCTTGAGCCAGAATATCAGTGGGGTTTTTTTGAAGGTCTTCTCAGCAGCAGCAGCAGCAGCAGCAGCAGCAGCAGCAGCTGCCACTGCTAACCTGTCGACTAGTTGAACTGTGTGCTGTGTTCTGAGGACAGCTGAAAGGTGACAATACCCCCCTTTTACCAGCACTAAGATCAGGAGCAGACCTGGAGGAGGTAATGCTGGAGGGCAACCCTAAAGGGAGAGTCTTTTTGTGGTTTCACAAAAGAGACTTCACAGGACAAGAACAACGAACTTAGTGGGGTGCATCTCAAGCTTATTGAGGGAGAAGAAAGGCAGAGACTAGTGTTTCAGGGATGAGCTAGAAAATAACCCATTAAGGAAGAACTAGCTAGGAGACTCTATGGGGCCTGAAGCTGGTTGTTCCTAATTAAATGTTCCTAACTGGGATATTTCCCTGTTTTATCTGAGTGGTGCACAATACATTACTTCAACCATATGTGCTTATTGATTATCTTGGGAATGAAGCTCATCTTCTGGTCCATTGTGATGCCACACTAGGTAAAATCGGAGATTTGTGACTATTTTTAGCTATAACTTACAATTAAGGCAGAAAAAAGAGAAACATGAAAAGTTCATCAATCACATTTTTCTTGCCAATAAGCTGTTTTGTGCCAAGCAATGACAGCTGCTCATAGTGTATGGAAAAGGAAATTTTCATAGTACAAAGGTCTGCGCTCTAATCCCACTTTTGTCAAAGTTGCTGCTGGATCTTTGATGATTTACTTAATCTCTGGGCCTCCATTTGCTTTTCCATATAATGTTATCTCTTCCACAGAAGATTGTGGGAGAATGCACAGCATGCACAAGGCATGGGGCCTGGCACTCAGCAGGTGCTCAGAAATATCAGTTTCCACTACTGCTCAGAATATCACCTTCAAAGGATTGGAAGGCCTTGATGAGGGCTTGGATAAGCGGGTGCTCTGAGCATATGGTCGTGTCTGCAGTAGCATGCAGGCCACTTCCAGACCCTTGTGCAGCCAGAGAGGAAAGGAGCCAGAGAGAAAGAAGTCAGTCCACTAATTGCTTTGGGCTGTTACAAAAACTGGAAAGTTCCATTTGTTGAGACACTAAAATTTTGAAATTTGTTTTAGCAGATGGCACTGTACTAAACAGGTTACCTCCTTCCTCAACAGATCCACTCACCTCCCTTGAAAGCCAAAATATCTGGGGCTATGCCCTCCTTCTGGACCATAGAGGTTAGTCAGTGAAGCTCTAAGCCAGCTCCTGCTATCAAAAGGTGGATGGAAAGCCCTATTCTTTCCTACCTTCCTTTCTGGTGGAGGCCCAGCATCATATGACTCAGAACAACAGTGGTGCCACTTAGCTATGACATGCTTGATGGTGTAAGGACATTGTCAAATCTGAGAGGAAGCTGTTTAAGGAAGGAATCAGGAGATGGGTAATGGAAACCCAGAGTTCTCCATTACCTGCATCCTCACTGACAGTGAATGCTGTGTTGCCCAGGGACACAGTGGAGGCATCATTGGGGCCATTAATGAGCACCTTGGCCGATGCCACCCTCCCCAGACGAGCGTTGTCAGAAGCATCGGCCAGGGCAATCTCAAACTCTTCTTCCTCTTCATACTCGCTGTCATCAATGAGCATGACATCACAGGTGGACATGGTGACACCAGGCCCAAATATCACACGACTCTCAGCAGACATTCCTCTAGATTTAAAATCAGAGCCTGATTCAAGAGCATACAGGCTACTTCCCATAGCTGACTTAGGGACCGTGTAGCAAATTGCAGATACAATGCTGCTTGAATCTCCTGCAATACAAATGGTAAGAAAACCAATATATTTGAGTGAGTGCTTCTCAAATTTCAAAATCTCTGGCCATTTAATGAGCTTGCTTCCCTCTGACACATTTCATCACCAGTTCTGTTCAAACTCTGACATGAACTCTTTCTACATTACAGCTCCTCTTAAGCCTATGGTATTAACCACTTAAGGATTTAATATACCCCAGATACTTCACCAAACAACTTAAAATGGATTTCTCCTTCTGTGAATTTTGAGCTCTGCTAATTCACAAGACTCATTGCCCAGCATCTAAGACCACAGTGGGTAGAAAGATAAGAAACATATTTGGTATTTTAAGTAGCAAAGTAATTGTGTCCTGAAGGTAGTGCCATGAGCACAGTTCACTGCCTTTTAGAAAAAACTTCTGCACTTTCATTCCCAGGGAGATACAAGCTCATTTATAAAAAGAAAGACAACACAAAATAAAAACCCTTCTCTGTACAAATGGCTTTACTTAGTGCTGCCACTTCCCTGGGTGACAGCCTGCTCTGGGCCTGGCTTGCTGGTCCCAAGCAATCAATGGCGTTTGCTGTTTACAAGTGTCATCACCAAGGCTTTACGTTATTGACAGAGTTTGTTACACTAACATACTGTCAGCAGATTCAGCAAAAAACCTAACATCATTATTTGCAGTCATGTTATTGCTTTGAATGGGGATTTAATATCCATGTGTTTTATTTATTTGTTTATTTATTTATTTTTATATTTTTTATATCCATGTGTTTTAAAGTCTCAATATTGTACAATCATAAATCTAAACAACCTTTGTTTCCATTGTCAACCCCTCAAGAATTGCTCTGTATGTCTCACACAGTATATTTCTCATCTGTGCTCTATATGACACGCACTTAGGGAACACTTTAAACATGTTTACATTTTTCTAAGAACTAAGATGGAAAGCTAGTTCTTATGATCTATAACTTCTCTCTTTGACCAATGTTACTAAATATTTCATAGATTCTGTGATTGATTTAGAATCCTCAGTTTGTTCAGGTAGTGTGACTAGTGGTCTAAGGTGCTGGATTTCAAATCCTGAGTTTATGAATAATTTGCAAAGCTGAATACAACTAGTCTTCAAGTACCCACTGGAGAATAAATAGGAGCTTTAACAGCTTCAGCTTAAAGGAGAAGTCTGCTGATAGTACTCACTATAGATAGGTAAAATAATTATTAGATTGTGGTGAGGATTTAAATGAGTCAATATATGGAAAGTATACACATACATAAGTTAATATGATACATGAATTCTTAGCACATAAAAGGGACTCAATGAATGTTGGTTACTATTAGGGCTCCTTGTCACCGTCGGCGCCAACAGACCTTTTCTTTCAATAGGTGCAAATAGAAAACCAGTGCTCTCGTTGACCCGGTAGGTCTTCTTATCAAACTCTAACGTGGGTTCGTCCTCAGTGTCATTGATAATGACCTTCGCCTGGGTGAACTCCCCTAATAGTGCATATGCTGGCATACTGAGCTCCACTGTGAAACTCTCAATGTTCTCAAACACATCATCATCGTTGATGACAATGGTGCAGGACTTGGTGTCCTCTCGTTCATCAAATTGAACCTGTCAAAAAGGAAGCAACAAAAGAGCTAAATAAGCTGTGATTCAGCTTCCCCTGCTTGCAACCCCGAAGCATTATGGGAAAAGAAGACCCACATCCAAAGGGTAGAACACTGAATGAAATAGCTGGTTCCTCCAGTCCCAACTTCCTGCTATATCTCCAGGAACACTTAACTACTTCCTCTTCTTCATCTGTACATTGGGGCTGATTTATTGTGTGGGGCAAGAAGGGGGAAAAGAAATCTCCAACTACTTGTTGACTATTGTGAAACTAGTAGGTAACTACTCATATCCTGTCTTATTAACTACCTTGGAACAGCAAGAGTCATTCTATTACTGTTTTCCTTCTATAGTGCTGAGTTTATTGGAAAGATCTTTGAATTCAAAATGTGAGGTTCTGGCCTCAAGTCCTGGTTCTATTACTTCCAAGCTGGGTTAGACTATGAAAGATTAGGCTATGAGACATCAGCTTCTTCACCAGTTAAGAAGCAACAACAATACTCTTATTTTATGTGATCATTAGGAGGACTAAATGAGATAATGTAAATGAAAGCACTAAGTATGTTTTAAAACACCAAATGTAAGATTTTATCATTACTATGACCATATTACTTGTATAACCAAAGTTATAGAATCTCGGTGTACTAAAATACGGAGTTTGAATTCAGAGAAAGTTACATTATGAACAAGTCAGACTAAATTTTAACATTATATTTGACTAAGTCCTTTGTCATTAAGATGAGCTAGATTTATAAGATGAATGAATTTAGCCTGGAACAAAACAGGAATTATTTTGTATGCACACATAGCGAATTTATTTTGGCTTTAGCAGGTATATAAAAAAAGGATAAAGCTAAAACTTTCAAGTGAAACCAGAGCTATGGATTTGTGCAAACCTGATAGGGCAGTAAATGGGCCTGCATTGCACTTTGTGTAAACTGAGACTGCTGAAACATGTGTAAAAATAGCCATAAATCTCTATGGATACACAAATTGAGGAACACATAATTTTCATCAGTAGAAAATTACTATTCCATATCTAATCAACTAATGAAATTAAATTTTAGTAAGTTTCAAATTTCAAAAGACTTCCAAATAAATAGAATACTCAAACTGCCGTTTGCCTTTCCTTGAAAAACACAAGTACCCAAGCTTGCTTATCATTTTGCTAAAAGACTCTTTAGCTTATCTGTTCTTTTCTAATTCCTCATTTAAATTTGACATAAGGTCTTAGCTTAGTCCAGCTGAATTATCTCAAAGAGAGTCCACTCCTTTTTACAGAGATTTACAGTGCCATAGAAATAATAAAGTTACTTTAAAAAACATTTGATAAGTACCAAACACATGCCAGGCATTGCGCCATATGTAAGAGATGCCAAGTGCACGGTATCCCACCATAAAGGAGTTTAGTTTTTAAGTCCTCCCTCTTATTCTTTTGTTTTCACTGTCTTGTTTTCTTCTCTCACTCATACTCTGCCATTTATTACCCCACTCTATACAAAGACTTGCAAATTTATTTCTCTACCCTGGACTCCATTGGAACTCCCTACCAACCTACATTCCTGTCAACTTGCTGTCTCTAAGGAGACTCACACTCAACAAGTTCAAAGTAGAGTCAATATCACTCCTCCACTGCAAAATCCTATCAGTTCTTACTCATCTATTGAGTTTGTCCACTTCCCTCCACCTTCACTTTGTAAGTGAAGCTCAATTTCCCATCATCTCTCACTCACCTTGTACCAAGAGCTTCCCAGATAGTCTCTCTATAATCTCTGTTGCCTCCCTACACTTTCTCTTCCTTCCCTTAGTGTAGAACCTGATGCATGAGAGTCATTAGGTTAAAAAGTAAAGACTGAGGAGCTAGACAACTTAAAGCTTCAGCATCCTTCCTTCAGGAAGCCATCACCAGAGCCAAAAACAAGATCACCTACCTGGCTGGAGTTGGCAGGCAGTTTAGGAATCATGGGCCCCCTCACCTACCTACCTGACCAGCATACTCCACGTAGTCCTGCTGCCCAGGTTTGGAGCTGACCCTGGAGCTGGATCTAGCGGTGCCTTGCTCCGTGCGGCATAAGACAATGGCATACTGGTTCAGGTTCCCAGTCCTCTGCACTGTGACACTGACGGACCCCGCTTTCTCACTGACATTGTAGCTAGAAGCACACAGAAATGCAGTGTCTGAAATTCTGCCCTGGCACTGGGAAGTTACACTTAGTGAATACCTGTCTCTTCTGCTTGGTTATTGGCATGGGAAGTGCAGAGAAGAAGTTTAGTTCTTTTAAGAAGACAGGTTGTATATAGAGGGAACACATCTATGGGACAGTCACAGCACCAAGGAAGCAACCTTGAAGCAACCAAGGAAGCTGGGGAGGCAGAATGGTATCTGCCCCATTTTCAGAGAACGTTGAGAGTCATTCATACATGGGACAGTACATAGGAGCTCTGCACTTGGTATTTCAGAACATGGAGAAATAACAATCTCTCCTTAGTATGTAAGTGTAATGAGAATAGATCAGTGGGTACTGAGGGAAGAAAGCTACTCAGAAGGCAATGATTTACCAGATCTTCAGGAGTATGCAAAGAAGCCAGGGCAGTGCCAGAGGTAAGATAATGAGAATTGGGTCCAGGTAACAAGGTGTTCAGACAAATGGAGCTTTATGACAATTGGGGAATGACAGGGCACTGCACCCTCCCCACCATTCCAATTCATATGTTGAAATTCCCAATGTGATGGTATTAAAGATGAAGCCCTGGTTTTAAAGGTGATTAGGTCATAAGAGTGGAGCCTCATGAATGGGATTATTTTCCTTATAAAAGAGACCCCAGAGAACTCCCTTGTCCTGTTGCCATGTGAGGTCAAAGAGGGAAGACAACCATGCATGAGCCAAATCCTCACCAGACACTAGATCTGCTAGCACTTTGATATTGAACATTCCAGCTTCCTGAACTGTGAGAAATACATTTCTGTTGGAAGACACCAATCAGTGTCTCTGTTTGCCTATTTAGTCCATTAAGCCACACAGTCTATGCTGTCTGTTATAGTACCTGGAATAGACTAAGGTGTAAGGTTATCTTAGCTTGCTACTAGAAATGTGCATTGGCCTTTGCAAAGGAGGAAGCAAGTTATCCATGTACTATTAATTCATAGTAAGAATCTAGATTTAGAAAAATTGCAAGTGTTGAGCTGGGCTTTGTTTCTCATCACCAAGCATGGCCACTGTGCTGGGGCTGGAGCCTTGCTGCTGTGAGGGTTGTAGGCAAAGTGCCTCTGAGATGCTAGTCCTTGCTGCCAGCTGTGGGGTCCTTGGTACTACCTAGTCCACTAAGCGGTAGAGGGCTGTCCAGAAAAGAAAATTGATCAGTGTTAATCAATTTATTTAACTTTGAAGAAGATATAAATAAGAAGCATATTAAAACAAAATATGACATTTAAGTTGATTCTAATTTTCCTCCTACTCTCTTAGTGCATGTGAACAGAGTGAAACAGTCTACATTTGGGGTACCATGAGGTCAGATTTCTATGTTTTCCTTCCCCCATTCCCACTTCTAACTCTAGCCTGAATTATCATGAAGTTGATTTACTGGAATAGAGAAATATATTTCTTAGAACAGTGTCTGAAATGTAGATTTAAATATTTATTTTCCCCACAAAACTATAATCACAGTTATTATTCAACTATAAAATCAGTACTGTGCTTGTCCACCTTTACCAATCAGTGTCTCTTGTTGCTTACGTCCCCAACAAACTACAAAAGCATCTTAAGCAGCTGTCTTTGTTAACCTCTGCATTTGTCCCTAGACGTATATAGTCCTATGAACACCAAAGGAGCTAGGAGAGAACAAAAGTAGAGAGCAAGGAAAAGGTAAATGGAGACAAAGTTACTGTCTTTGTGGGCCAGTGATCATTTCTAGAACTTAAATGTATAATTTTTTCCCTATCAGTTCTACTGGATTATTTTCTAAAACTTGAAAATACTTGTAGGCAAAAATATTTATAGGTAAGACAGCACAACGCTTAAGATTGCTGGGCTTAAATCCTGGTTTTACTGGTTACTAGACATGTGACTTTGGGCAAGCCACCTAACCTTTTTCTGTCTCACTACTCTGTAATTGTGGGGACAACAGTACTCATCTCATAACTGCAAGTATTAAACTAGATAATGTCGATCAAGTACCTAGTATACTGCCTGGTACATACAGTATTTAAGAAATATTTGTTGTGATTCTTTTTTTCCTCCTCCTCTGTAAGATGATGATGATGATTGGGTTATCATCATCACTCTACAACCATCATTAGATGACTAGAATTGCCCTACTTCATCCTGATTTTTTTCTCAGTTGTGGGGTATAAACAGGACTTTACATGACCATTCAGACATTAGGTCTTGCTTCATCCTGATCTTCACTGCCTTCTGGATCCATTTCTCATGAATGAAGACACAATAACATAAGTACCTGGTATATTTAAAGCTGATGAGGGACCACTGGATGTGGAAGACATTGTCATTGACCACGTTGGGTTTGCTGTCTTTCACCAGAAACTGAAAACTGTCCATCATCTCATGGGTCTTCTCCTCATGTAACACATAACGAATCAACCCCAAGTTCACATCCTCTGTGAGAAACAAAATAAAACAAAATACTGTAAATTGATCCAAGGGCATAAAGACAGCCTCATAGATTCCCACACCAACACACCCAGTTATTTTTTGAAAAAGTTACTGACAGAACTTATTTTCCCAAGAACAACAAAGGATAATAGATTTAAAAAAAAACCGCTTCTGCCACATTTTAAATTAAGACTCCATAGCTTTTGGTAACAAAAGACTTGTCTTCATACACGGGAAGTGCCCTTGTGCTGTTGTAAAATAAGAATCCCAGGGTATCAGCAAAAAAGCATGTTAATAAATGTCTATGGAATGTTAGAGGAAATCCAAGAGCTGACAGAGAAAAGTCTTTGACTCCATTCTCTGTGTTTATACGCGCACCTCCAATTCCTTGTAAATAAAGTACCTTGTAAGGTATTTGATAATAAAAAAAAAAGCTGGAATTGGATTAAAAGAACCTATACATAAGGTGCAGATAACATGGAACTAGGAGACAACACAAGATTGAGGACAGGAAGAAAAAAGAAAATATAGAGCATGAATTTTGCAATGGCTACTCTCATTCACGTCCATCCTCCAAAGTCTAGAAAGCTCTGAGAGGCTTATAAAAAACTTTTTATATTAAAAACAATTTATATTATAAAATATAAATTGTCTGCTTGATATGATTCAATATAGGACATTATTTCTGTCGAGCAACCTACTTATGTTGATTTTAATTTATTTTATGTAGATTTGAAGAAAAAAAATCTATAATCCCTAGAGAATAAAAAAAAAAACCACAAAGGGCCACAGAACTTTCATAAAATCTGATGTTTGATTTCACTTTTGGTGTTTGTTATTTTAAGCAACCCAAGTAGTAGTATTATTTGATCCTTTACAAAAACCTGTCTCAAACCTAAAGCAATTTGGGAACTGAGGAAGCATGGCAAAGATGAAAATTTCTTTGCCATTAACTCAGAGTAACAGGAAACAAAATCAGGAGAAGAAAATTCAAAAGTCAGATGGTTAGATTCTAAAATATATTTGTTTATAAATAGGTCACTTGGGGATCTTTAGCCAGATGTGTGTGTAAGAGAGAGCAGGGAGGTAGGAAGTATGGCATTAGAGCAGATTTCTGTAATTTCTTGGTTCCCTGAGTCCCCACCCTGTGTGAAAGTGGAAACAGCTCTGCCAGGCTGCAGCTTGCTCTCCACGTAGCCATGCTTGGGGCCTGTTGTTATCTCATAGACAAGCTGCAGGTCCTCTGTGTCGGGGTCCATGGTCAGCAGTTCCTTTTTGGTGATCAGGTTGGTTGCCTGAAATAGAAAACCATTAAATTTAATTCCTGAGATGGGAATAAAGTGAGAACAAGACCCTCTGACTCAGATTTAATTCAGTTCAACAATGATTTACTGAGTGCATTTACTGCCTGGAAAACTGTCAGGATTGGAGAGGTTATGAACATAGGAACTATTCCAGTTTCTGGCCTTGAGGTCTTCACACTTTACTGGGAAAGAAAGACTCAAAAAAGACTCATGATTGTGGAAAGAGCTATAACTGGAGATACAAAAAGAATGCTCTCTGTTTTGGGGGAGTAATCTATGCTAGGGAGAGATTAATTCCATCTGGAGTGGGGAAGCAGGAATTCAAGAGGGTGAGACTTCAGTTTGGCCTTTTAAAAGAAGATTAGAACTCTGAACGAATGATACAAGAAAGATGGCCACTTTTATACTTTTTTACAAAAGATAATTATAATGCTCTAAATTGAGTATGGTAAATATATTATACCCCAAGATTGCTTAAATTTATTGACTAACCTTTAATTCACTTCATTCATTTATTTGTTCATTCAACAAATATTTAATGAGAGCAAAGGTTTGAGAGAGAAAACAGAAAGATTAACAGTATTAAATAATATAAGATCTACTAAGACAAGGACATGCAAGTGACCTTTGGCAAAATAGAGGTCACTGGTGTCTAATGAGAGTCACTGCAATAGTGTACAAATGGGAAGTAGAAAACCAGTTGAAGAATTTCGAGAACAGGATGGTTCTGAATGTGGAGTAAAAAATCAAATAGGGCATAAAAGGAATTCACACTAATTTTCTTTCATATATTTAAAAAAATCCCATACAGTTCACTTGGAGGCAATGACATAAAATTTACATGTGCAGCCAACTAATCAGCTCCATAGAAATGAAAAAAAAAAAAAATCCATATTCTAGAGGGAATTTTTTTTTTTTTACAAAAATAAGAAATCAGTTCTCAACTGAACTGAAGAACAGTGTGTGTTTGGGTGGGGATGGGGATTTAATGCTCAACATCCTATCAGGTGAGAATTATGGCATAGATACTAAGATAACAAAATTCAGATTTAGGAAAATGATAAGGAAACCTTTAAACTAGAATTCCTTTGAGGATAGTACAAAAAATTAATTTCCTTTCTATCTAGACATCATCCAAATGTTTTCTAAAACCTATTCTTCCCTTCTCATTACCAAAAGTTAACTGAGTTAAAGATTCCTAGTGTCCCAGATGGGGCCAACTGATTGATTCCATACAAATGATAGGCTTAATAGCTGCATCATTGCTTAAAAGGAAGTTCCTTGCCCTTTGCTTCTCTATTTCCCCCTTTCAGTGGGAAAGCATCTTTACAAATAGCTGGAGCAGTTGGTCATGCTGTCAACTGCAAGAACCCAGTGATGACAAAACAGTCAGATAAGGGCCTCCCTGGTGGTGCAAAGGGTTAAGACACAACCTATGAAGCTATCCGAAGCCACTGCAGCACGAGTTCAATCCTCAACCAGGGAGCTACCCACATGGTGCAGCAGACCTCTTCTGACTCACCTGCTGCTCCCCTCAGCAGTGTATTTCAGTCAATTTGCCTGTTCTGTTCCCCACTCTGTCTCTGGTGAATCCTCTCATCCCCACACCTCTGGCCTGTACCTCAGTTCTTGTATGCATAAATAAATAAATCTTAAAAAAAAAAGTCAAATGAAAGAAATCTGTCTCTTTAAATGGTCACATAGAGCCTTTCTTACACCCTACATATGAGAAAAAAAAAAAACCTTGTTTGAATTACTGTACTTTGGTTTTTTTTTGTAAGTACATTTAAAACTATATGCAATCATGGGGCCTCCCCGGTGGCGCAGCGGTTGAGCGCTGGGTTGCAAAGCTGCCAGCAGCCTCTGCAGTGCCAGTTCGATCCCCGGCCGCCGGCGAGGGTCCCACATGGCGTGCAGACCTCTTCTGCCGCCCACTGCTCCCCTCAGCAGTGTACCTCGTCACTCTGCCTGCTCTGCTTTCCCCTCTGGCTCTGGTGAATTCTCTCACCCTCCCGCGTGTCTGACTGTACCCAGTGCTTGTATAAATAAATAAATCTTAAAAAAAAAAAAAAAACTATATGCAATCCTAACCAAACATGAAGCTCACCAATCTTCAGATCAGCTCCTTAGGAAGGGTAACCAAGTTAAAATGAGTTCTCCACATAAGTCAATGTCCTGAATGAGGATATTGTCTAAGTTATTGAGTGTGAATGTGATATGGGCAGGGGGAAGGCCTTACCTTGCCATCCATATACTCCAGCCATTGGAGCCCCAGGTTGGTAACAATTCTAGGGGTGCCATCATCTACTGGGAGGATGTCTACTTTGAACTGCTGAGGTGCTGCTGTCCTAACCTGTGGGGGAAGCCAAAGAGAAGAGTTATTGTTCAGATATCTAAAATTCACCAGGATCTACAAAATCTGGACCCCGAAAATCTGGTGGCATTTCTGAAGGAGAAACTGAGACCCTTGTCATGAGGCTTAAGGGAGAATGCTGACCGATAAAGTGGGAGCAATGTAAGAAAAGTAAGGAAGAAGCAGAACGCCTGCTGGAATTTCACATGGAAGTTGGTTTTCACACACCTGTGCTTTCTTTTTTTCATTTCAATATTGCCCTGAAGGTGAACAATTAAAATATTTTACTTTCACAACCTCTTATTAAAATTTTCATGAGCGGTGGACAAAAATCATCATTAAAATGGTAATGTCAAAGTCTCCAGATAGGATTCTGCCTGATGGGAAATGAGCTTTCATATGAAGAAATTTTAGTTTTGTTTTTGCTTGAGAAAGAGCCATCAAATGAGATAGAAGAAATAGAGAATAAAAGAATCTGTGGGGAGAGTGAAAAGAAATTCTGGTCTGTAATTTTGTTTTCAAACAGGCACACAGATCAGCAAGATGCACCCAGCACCTTAGCTTCTGAGTGGACACAACAAGCTGGACTACAAAGCAGCAAGATGTGGCTTTTCAATTGTCTGCAACCCTCTTTATATATAATTTTCATTTTTAAAATGACACTGTGCCTCTGGAGACCACTGTGACCTTTATGTTTATCAGAGGCCTAGCCTTCTTGCTGATTCATTTTGAAATTTTTTTTTTCCTCTTCCAAAAGTTAAATTAACTGGAGAACAGCTACAGCTTGGGAGAGAAAATCAAAGTGACGTACTGCCAGGTGGCGACGCAGTGCAGACACTGAAATGGCAGTGAGGTCCCAAGAGCTACCCTGCTGGTGCTTCAGCCACCTGAGAATGACCTTGTTTACTGCTGTCTCCAAAGGGTGCAGGAGAGTTTCGCTCCAAAAAAAGAATCATCCATCATTAAAGTAGGAAGGAGACTCTATAGGACTAAGAAGCCGGTCCTTCTGTTCTCCTAGAAGGACATGGGTGTCATGATCACATCACTCACTAAAACTGCTTCTGCAGGGCCAGTCGCAGATGCATGAGATGTAAGGGAGCTTGAGGCCCCACCCTTCACCAGATTTGCTGTTGTCCCAGGGGAAGGTACTGATAGTGTAGGACACCTACTTAAGGAACATTGGAATGAATAATAAATAATATCGGGAAGGTAATGGACAGGGAACCTTACAGTTTCTTCTGGATACCTGGATATTGGAAAGAAACAGTTTTGTTAAAGAAGAAAAGCTTTACAGTTGCATGACCTCAAGAGAAATGCATCTTTATCTATTTCTCAAGCTGGTCCTAAAATGATGGGGAGTATAGGCAGAGTTAATTGGGTGTTTCCTGGGGTAAGGCACTGGGCAAAGTGATTTATATAAATCATGAAAGTAGATATCATCCCCATTTTACAGTTAAGGAAGGCAAGACTTAGAAAGGTTAAATGATTGACAAAGAAGCTAGTATGTGACAGAACCCAAATTTCAAATGTGTCTTTTGGAGGAAAAAGCCGTACTCCTACCCACATGTTTCTTCATGAGATTTAGAAACTTTGGCAGGCTGAGGGGATAGTCTAGAATCATATGATGTTGAAAAGCAGACAATTTAAAGGAGTGAAGTATAGGCAAAAAGGAGAGAAGAAATAATAGCAATAATAAACTGATCACTTTTTATTGTGAGTGTCCACATTTGCCTACAGCATTATGCAATTTTATGTGGATTACCTCCTTGGAGTCTTAGAATAATGGAAGTTGGTGATTATTATTGTACTAATTTTACAGATGAAAAACTGAGTCTTAGAAAAATTAAGTAATTTGCTGAAGGCCAATTAGTAAGTGACAGAATAAGATCTCAAATAATGCTGCCCTTGGTCTAAAATAACTCCATGTTCTGCCTCTACAAAACCTCCAGCATGCTTTGTGTCACCTCTTTTCCTCCTTCTTCAATTATAAAGAAGGGATTTGTCCCATCAGCAACAGTGAAGGTAAAGCGGTCTTTGAGGGAGTTGCTGCCATCATGGCTGTAGCTGACCCGGTTCTGGTAGATGTCTTCCATGGTGAAGGTGGAGGTGTGCTGGGAGCGCTGGCCTCCGGTGGTTCTCTCAATGGTCCCATGGCGTGGAGGCTGCACAATGGTGAATGTGATAGATTCGGCCTGTCAAGGAGGGAAAAAGCAAGAGGAGAAAGGAAGTTCCTAACAGAAACCAGATGAGAGAGTGATGGCCAACAGGTGGGCAAAGACAGCCAAACCTGAAGATAAGGTAAGGGTTTCATCTTCTTTACAGAAACCCAAAATACAGCTAAGGAGAAAACATTATGTTGGTTACTATAATGGAACTTATATTCTGGTGATGTCAGTTGTGCCCTTTAAGAGTCACAGGGGATTTCTAAATTCCTGCTATGAGTGAGACCATCTGGTATTTTTCTTTTTCTTTCTGGCTTATTTCACTGAGCATGATCCCTTCCAGCTCCATCCATGTTGCTGCAAATTGCATGAGTTTATCTTTTTTGATTGCTGAGTAATATTCCATTGTGTATATGTACCACATCTTCTTGATCTAGTAATCTATTTTTGGGCATTTGAGTTGTTTCCATAGCTTAGCTATTGTAAATAGTGCTGCTATAAACATAGGGATGCAAGTGCCCTTCTGAATTAATATTTCTGCAGGAATTTAGAAAACCTAAATAAGGGAACAGGAAAAAGACTAATTATAATAAAGTAAAAATCAAAATCAACAAGCTACTATAAACCAGAGACACACTACGGGGGGAGGGGTAGGAAGGATTAGGGTCAAAATAAGGGGGATGGGAATTGTATGGGGACTATAACCAAGATGAAAATGCAAACATTGTGGGGCCTCCCCTGGTGGTGCTGGTGGTTGAGCGCAGCGCTGTGAAGCTGTCTGCAGCTGACCGCAGTGCTGGTTCGATCCCTGCCAGCTGGCGAGGGTCCCACATGGCGTGGCAGACCTCTCCTCGCCATCTGCTCCCCTAAGCAGTTTATTTCAGTCAGTCTGCCTGTTCTGTTCCCCACTCTGACTCTGGTGAATCCTCTCACCCTCTCGCACATCTGGCCTGTACCCTATTCTTGTATGCATGAATAAATAAATATTAAAAAAATTTTTAAAAAGAAAAAAATGCATACATTGTGCAAAAATGAAAAATGATGTAAAAATATATAAAATTAAAATAATAATAAAAAAGAGTCATAGGGGAAAACCTAAATTTGTAACCTATATTAGGATGATAGGAACTAGATCTTTTATTTATTTTTTTTTTAATAGAGGCATGTTTTATTTATTTATTTGTTTGTTTGTTTGTTTATACATGCGCTGGGTACAGTCAGAAGCGCGGGAGGGTGAGAGAATTCACCAGAGCCAGAGCGGGGAGCAGAGCAGGCAGAAGGACCGAAGTACACTGCTGAGGGGAGCAGCGGGCGGCAGGAGAGGTCTGCGCGCCATGTGGGACCCTCCTCCGGTGGCCGGGGAGCAGCCGGGGATCGAACCGGCGCCGCAGAGGCCGCGGGCAGCTTCGCAACCCAGCGCTCAACCGCTGCGCCACAGGGGAGGCCCAGGAACTAGATCTTTTAAAACTATCCATTTCCTTTCCATCCATTCTCTTCCCAAACTCTTATTTAAGTATCCCATATGTATAAGAGCCATAGCTAATTTCCCATTCCTAATAGCTGCTTCTACATGACATGTAGAGGGAAAAATGAAGTAGAAGACCCTCCCAACACTTTCTGCTGATTTCCCACTAACTTAGAATAAAATGTGAAGGCCTGACCTGGGCCAACAGGCCTTCTGTGCCTGGCCCCAGGGATGTTCGCTGGCATCATTCTTCTCTCTCCTCTCCTGTTTGTTTACTGGGCTCCAGGCTCTTGATCTCTCTGCTTATAACTCAGTGGTTCCAAGCACACTAGATGACAGGGTGTTTGTACTTCTCTGTTTTGTTTTGTTTTTTAGATTTATTTATTTATACAAGAACTGGGGTATAGGCCAGATGCACAGGAGGGTGAGAGGATTTACCAGAGCCAGAGTGGGGAACAGAACAGGCAGACAACGAAATACACTGCTGAGGGGAGCAGCGGGCATGACAGGAGAGGTCTGCCGCGCCATGTGGGACCCTCACCAGGCGGCCGGGATCGAACCATTGCTGCAGGGGCTGTGAAAAGCCTCTCAGCGCAGTGCTTAACCGCCTGCGCCGCCAGGGCAGGCCCTATTTGTACTTCTGGTTCTTTTGCCTAGAGAGCAGTCCTCCCAAATAACTGCGTAGCTTGTTCTTCCACTTCAGGATATCTCTGTTCAAGTACCAGCTTCTCAGACAGCCTGTCCCTGGCCTAGTCTGTCTAAAATAGCACACCATCAATCTCTAGCTCATTTTACCTTTTTTTCACAGCACTTATATCTGACGTGATATTTTATGTTCTTTCTTTCTTGTCAGTCCCTTATGGGTGTAGGTTGTAAACCCTTATAGCTGGCCGGAACCTTAGCTGTCTTATTCACAGGTATGTATTTAACATCTCGAGCAAGCTGGCACTCAACTGGGGGATATACACACTGAAAGAATGAATGGATGGACGGGTAGATGGATGGATGGATGCTGGCATGGGAAAGGACATACATAGAACCAGTTAATAAGTCTGTGATATTCTTGTGGGAGCCAATCATTTCAGAATGGCAGGTATTTTAATCTGAAAGCATCTTCAGAAGAAGTTTAGTTTTTACATACCTGTTTTACTATATAAAGTCTAATTATTTCAGTATGCTCAAATTATAATAATGAGTTATCAGCCAGAGAAGTGTGGATATAGGAGGCAAAGTGGAGGAAAAAGGAACATAGGGACAAAAAAATCCTTGTTCCTCCTACGACAGAGTGACAAAAACACTGGGTAAAATGTTATCTACCTAATTTCTATGATTCATGATAAAATCAGCATGACAAAAGGATTGTTATTTTATTTAGATATTTTATTTTATATAATTCTTACATCTTTTTTCATCTTTGCACAAGGATTGTTATTTGTAATCAAGGGAGAGGATGAATGTATTTAGGGTTTCAGAAAGGATTTAAAAACAATTTGATCTCAAATTATTAGTTTCTCTTTTTCAGAAAATGCCTCCTGTTTTTTCTTTTTTACAGATTTATTTATTTATTTATACAAGCATTGAGTACAGTCAGAAGCGCGGGAGGGTGAGAGAATTCACCAGAGCCAGAGCGGGGAGCAGAACAGGCAGACCGATGAAACCCACTGCTGAGGGGAGCAGCAGGCGGCAGGAGAGGTCTGTGCGCCATGTGGGACACTTGCTGGCGGCTGGGGCTCAAAGCAGTGCTGTAGAGGCTGCGGGCAGCTTCGCAGCCCAACGCTCAACTGCTGCGCCAGCAGGAGAGGCCCAAATGCCTCCTGTTTTTAATGTTTCAGAGATGCCTGCACTCCCCCAGGAGGCACAGCCACAAGCCATGAGATCATCTCTTACTCTGCCAGAGAATCCGGGATCATGCGCTTACCTCAGTGTCTGCATCCACGGCCTTGAGCTCGAACTCTGTGATGGTTTTCCGTACCCCCTCCTGTACCCGCAGCCCCAAGTTCTGTACAACAGGTAGCGAATCATCCACGGGGTGAATAGTGATGTGAAAAGTCTGGGTCACCTACAATGGCAGAAAAATGGAGATGGGACACATGTCCCCAGAAGAAAGTTGGTGTTCTCTACTTTTCTTCTCCCACCATTTCCACATCAACTGACCAGGAACCCAAAAATGAATTCTCTTTAGCAGGAGTCCAAGGCTTGGTAGGGGCAGCTCTAGTGTGGGTTGAGAGAAGAGGAGAAAGATGCTCTTATAACAGCTCCCACGGGAGTCCCTCTGCAGGTACAGAAACTGTGCTGAATCAGTGCCTTTTCCTCACCTACCTCATTGACTCCATCAGAGAGTGAAAAGCTGAAGGCATCTGAATGTTTCTCCTTCTCACTGGAATGGATGTACTGGATGTTTTGTGAAGTCAGGTCAGCTTGAGTAAAGGAACTAATCTGGATACCTTGCAAAAGGAGAAGAGAGAAACAAGGATGTTCAAAGTCTCGCCCTACTTCCAAGGCAAAGGAAGTGGCATACTCTTACTCAAGAGTCCTTTGTATTCTTCTTAAAGTATTTATGTACTTTCTGCTAAGACCTTATGTTAGGGTTGTTTGTATACTTTTGTTCTACGACAGCATATGCTCTGTAGGAGCACATGGTGACTTAATTATCTAGGCTTTCTACTAGGTGCCAAGCTGACAGCAGGTGCTCAGTAAATGTTTCCCTCCTTTCTCTTGGGGTTTACATAAGCAGGTCAAATCTGTGAAAGGTAGAACCATTGCCTTATTTTCCAGACGCCTCTCTTTTAAGTTTTATATTCCCCTGTAGGCTCATGGACCTTCCTGACAACCTGCTCTAATGTTGAATATTGTGTTGGTGCAGATTTTAAATAGTGGAGTCATAGGACTTGGCTAAACATAGCCTTGCTTCTACAGTTGGTGAACCATCTCTGACTTCCATAATTTCACTGGATATTCTTCACCCTTTCAACTCTCAGGTTTATGATGTTAGCTTCTCATAGACCACTTTATCCAGGCTGGCAGTGATGAAATTTACTGCATGATTGAGGTTTGAACAATCATTCTATATCAAATCTAATATGACTTAGAAAAGCAGCATCTGTTAAATAATGATATAAAAGAAAACATGAAAGTTTTTTTAAAAGTGATTTTAAAAGTAAAAAAAAAATCCAAAGTGATTTTAAATAATGTCAAGTTACCCTACAAAAGAGTAAAAGAGTAACATTTTTTTTTTTAAGTATCCAACAACATTTAGCAAAACAGCCAAGAATTCTGCTGTTTCTGGGGCTCATTTCTGGGACCAGCCAAGAATCAAAAAAAAAAACAAAACAAAACACCTATTTTAGCCCCTATGCGCAAATTCCTTTTTTTCTGATTCTGGGATATTAATCCCTTTAATCTAGTTCTTTAGTTTGGTCCTGAAATTCATTGGCTGCTTCTTGGGATTTATTGTTTGTCATTGTTAATCCTGGCAAGACCAGTTTGGTTATTCTGTAAGAAAAAAAGCAGATTCTACTTTATATTTAAAAATGACATCAATATCACTGCTATATCTTAAAAAAAATCAACTTGATGGTTTACATTTGCATCTCTCTTTATTATCTGAAATCTGTCACCCAGATACAATAGCCTCCTGGATATTGGGGCATTAATTTTTTGATGAGGCATTTTATATTTCTGTGCTTGCTACATCAGCTCTTGACAGGCAAAAAATGTAGTCCTCTGTCTTGTAGCTTTGTCTTGTGACTCTGGAGAGAAATCCATACCATTCTTAAAAAATTTAGTAACGTAACTGGCTACACTGAGAAATTTAAATCTCTTCCCCTGCAGTGAATAGCTTATGCAGAAAACCTGTCTAGATTCTCAAAATCAACAGATTACCTGATTCACTGTTCCCTTTATAAGAGTTAGGCTGATTAAGAGAGGTGATAGGTTTTTCCCTTCCTCTTGAGCGGGAAGCTCTGGGATTTATCTTTTTTTTTTTTTTAAAAAGATACTTTATCAAGAAGAAAGTGACATATAATAAATTGCACATATATAAAGTACACAACTTCATAAGCTTTGGCACATTGTGGAACCATCACCTCAATCAAAATAGTGAACACATCCATCACTCCAAAAGTTTCCAACAGACAAGCTGTAATCCTTCATCCTTCCTGTGTCTGTCCCCTACCCTATCCCAGAGCAATATATGAACAGCCTTTGTCACTATAGATTAACTGACACATTCTCTAAATTTTTAATAGAACCATACAGAGTGTATTATTTTATGCATAGTTTCTTTTAGCATAATTTTTTGGTGACTCATCCATATTGTAGTATATACCACACTCCTTTTTACTGTTGAGTAGTATTTCATTGTGTGTCTATAGCATATCTTGCTTATCCATTCACCTTATGATGGACATTTAGGTTATTTCTAGGTTTGAACTATTATAAATAAAGTTGCTATGATCATTTGTGCATAAGTCTTTGTAGGGACATAAGTCTTTGATTTTTGGTAAATCTCTTAGAGTAGAATGGTAGGAATATATGTTACATATATGTTTAACTTCTTAGGAAATTGTCAACCTATTTTCAAAGGGGTAGTACCATTTTACATGCCCATCAGCAATGCATGAGGCTCTAGACTTGATCTTTTCCAGTTCAATCTGGCAAACTCTGAACACCTACCATGTATAATCACTGTTTTGAGTTTGCTTGTATATATTGAGTTTTATCTTTTAACAACTTGGAAGGTCAGGTGGGCCTATTACTTTCATTTTTATAGATTATGCACTGTAGTAAAATTAGAAAAGCACCGTGACTCATCCAAGGTCACATAGCTAACAAGAGGGCTGAAACTCAAAGTGGTCAAATCCCAGAGAGTATGACTGCTAGGAATACTAGTTATAACTCAGCTAGTCTTTTCAGGCTATACCAGGAGCCTCTTGGATTTCACCCTTATCTTATTTTTTTCAGTATAAAGGTGATGCCTACTAAATAAAGTGTGAAAAAGAGAAAACTAGAAAAGAATCACAAAATCACTCATAGATCTAACTTAAATATCACCATTGTAGTAGTTTTGAATTGGATTGTTTCTTCTAGAATACTTTATTGGCTGTATTTTTTCTTTTTTCCTTTAGGTTCTTTTTAAAGATTTATTTATATAAGAACTGTATTTATACAGTCAGAGGAGCGGGAGGGTGAGAGAATTCACCAGAAACAGAGTGGGGAGCAAAACAGGCAGACAGGCTGAAGACACTGCTGAGGGGAGCAGTGAGCGAGGGAGGAGAGGTGTGCCCCGCGATGTGGGTTTCTCCCTGGCAGACCGAGAATCGAACTCGCGCTTCAGAGGCTGTGGACAGTTTCACAGCATGGTGCTTAACCTACTGTGCCATCAGGGAGGCCCTGGCTGTATTTTTTTTTTCTTGTCTGAAATATAGATTTTGATGGGATATTTCATTATCATTTAAGTGATATCCATAATTATATCCTAGAGGGTAACAGGCCAAGTATAGAATTTGAGCTTCAAGAGGACAAAATTTTTGTTGTTTCTCCAAGAATATACATCCAAAATAGTGTCTGACACATAGCAGGTATTCAAAGCATATTTGAAGTATAATTTAGCCTCTGTTAATTGGATATTGGAAGGTTTCAGCTACTCACTCAGAGCAAGGTAATCTTCTAATAGCATATTATCTCTCCTGGCTGTCACAGCAGAAAGTTAATGTTCGAAGTATCTTGAATATTTTTAATCCCATTAAAGGTGCTTTCAGTCACCAGCCTGCTGGCTAAACCATGTATCTGGCAGTATTATGGAGACCCCCATTAACTCTGTCAGTTTTTCCAATTTCTCTGGAAGTCCAGAAAGTTAGAAAAAGTTCAGATCAGGTCAGGTAAGGATTCAGGAATAACTGTCCACAGCCTTTGCAGCGCGAGTTCGATTCTCGGCCTGCCAGGGAGAAACCCACGTGGCGGGGCACACCTCTACTCCCTCGCCCACTGCTCCCCTCAAAGGTGTCTTCTGCCTTAGAAGAAACAGCCTTCTTAATGGGCAGATAGGTGACCCCTGGGCCATCCTGATTCAGCAGGACTAGGACGGCCCTATGCACACAGTCTGTATCACCCTTGAAGCTTGTGCTCTGAGAAACTCTCAGCTTTCCTGCTTCCCATTTTCTTCACAGCCTCCTGTTATGGGCTGAACTGTACCCTGTATCCATATACTGATGTCCTGACCCTCAGAACCTCATGAGGTGACCTTATTCGAAAGAGGCTTTCTGCAGATGTGATTAGATAAGATGAGGTCACTGCAGTGCATCAGAATCGAATCTGACTAATGTTTTCTTAAAAGGGGAAATATGGACATGGACGTCCACATGTAAGGAAAAATCCATGTGAACAGGAAGACGGTTATCTATAAACCAAGAAGAAACTTCCCTTAGAAGGAACCAACCCTGCCAACACCATGATTTTGGACTTCCAGCCAATAATTTGGACTTTCAGATATTCATTTTCTATTGTTTAAGCTGCTCAGCTGTGGTACATTGTCATAGCAGCCCCTACATATACTTCTGTTTTCCGGGAGTACCCATACTAAGATGTATGCTTCCCCCTTTGGTTAGTGTCACAACACTGAGAGAGGCTGAGGGAAGGAAGAAAACGTCTCCAAAACACCACTTCTGGAAAGTCTTCCCTGGTTCATCTCCTACCCTTTCCTGTGTGGGGCCTTCCTTTGGTGCCCTGTTCTCTGTCACATTGCTGTGAGAGCTACTGAGATGCAATTGCACATTTTTTTCTCATGCCCCCCTTATAAAACATAAGTCTCTCCTTAGTAGCTACACTCTAAATATTTGGTGAAGAGAGGAAGCTACTTTAATAGGATACAAAACTGGCCTCAGCTCAGGCTGTCATTAGAATCTCATGGGGGTACTTTTTAAAAAAGATTTATCTATCTATCTATCTATCTATCTATCTATCTATCTATCTATCTATCTATCTATCTATCTATCTATCTATCTATGCATAGAAGAACTGGGGAGCAAGCCAGAGGTGCGGGGTGTGAGAGGATTCACCAGAGACAAAATGGGAAGCAGCACAGGTGAATTTACTGAAATAAATATACTGCTGAGGGGAATAGTGGGCGAGACAGGAGAGGTCTGCTGAGCCATATGTGGGTGAGCACCCTGGCTAGGGATTGAGATCAGGCCACAGAGTTTGCAGAGGTGATAGCACTGAGACTTAACCCCAACACCACCAGGGAGGCCCTCATAGGGGTGCTTTTTTAAATATATATATATATACATACACACACATCTTTGTGTGTGTGTATATATGTATGTATACATATATGTGTGTGCATGTGTGTATGTGTGTGTGTATATATATATATTTACATCATTGTTCATTTTTGTACATTTGATTTATCTTTTCAGGAATAGTCTATGGATGCCTTTTAAAAACA